TGAGTTTTAGCTTCATTAGTCGTTGAGAAATTAAGTGTGTATAGTATAAGTCGAAGTGTGGGCGTAAATGGAAGTGCGGTTGAGAATCATTGAGAAACGTGTGCTATTAGGGTTTTTACCAAATATAGATATAGATGTTAATATTTTGGGCCCTTCTAAATGTTGGCATGAAATTTGAACATGATTTGTGGGTTTCGGGCGGATTGTTGTATTTTTAATTGTTTACTTTATCTCTTTATATATTGTCATAATTTATTATTTTTTGTTTTACGGTTTCCTTTTTTGGATTTGTCGTACTTTATATCTCGTAATGATCATTTGTATACTTTAAGATCAGTTAATTTGTTACCCAACCATATATCTCACTAAGTAATTATTAAATTTCCTGAATATTTTTTTAATTTTTAAAATATTATTTTTTTGAAAACTAATTTATATAATTTATTACCACTAATTATCTCACACGTGTCAACATCTTATCAATTCAATTAACATGTGTCACGATCTTGTTAATGACTAACTTTGAAAACTCAACTTTATATAATAAGATTATATATTTTTCTGATTTTATGTTTTATATATTTTTTTTGTTCATATGGAACAATTTTTAAATTTAACATATTAGTATACTTTATTTTATATTTAGTTTATTTCATTTAATAATGTTTTATTTTAATTTTCATTTTATGAAATATAGTTAATGTTTTATTTTGTTTATTAGTTTAACATATGTGTTGTATTGGAAACAAATAGTTAAATTCATATTGAAAACTTTTAAAGAAATATTATTTTTATTTTTACCTTTTTATATGTTTATAAATAATAAGAATTCATGTTTCGGTCCGACCTATCTCATTTATGTTAGAAATTTTTTTGAGACATAAATTAGATAGATTTATTTTCTCAAAATTTCTTACTTTTTACTTTATTCCCGTTAAATCCCATTATATTTAGGTTTACATTATGTAAATATAATCATATATATATTTTAAACATTCACTAAAAACTATAATCTATTATTTATATATTTGTTAGTATAATCGATAATTAGTAAGTTTTTTAACTCTTAATCAATTATCTTTTTTAGTTTTATAATGTATAATATATAAAAAAATCTTTCATATTCATTTTGGAAAAACTTATTTACATAGGTTTAAATATTAAAATTAAATGATAAAATGGTATAATTAATTTTAAAAATTAAATAATAAAATGAGGTGGATGATGATGTGGCTTAAAGAGAAGAGAGAAAAAGTTAACTTTATATATATAGATGATTGTCGTTGATGCCGTACACGTCTCTCTCTCTCTCGCCCGTGTATTACACAAGTTAATTACTGATTTAGCACTCTAATAAACGTATCATATCATTCCGTTTTTGGAAATTTGGGAAACAAGGATTATTTTTTTTAAACTACGTACGTACACCTTTCTTTATTTTCTTTGGAAACTAAATATTTTTCTACATATTTTTTTGTAACTTATCCTTATCATTTTTCAAAAATAGTCCTTACTAAGATTTTTTCTAAATACTTGTTGGGAAAAAAATAATTCAGAAACTAGCTAACAAGATCGTTATTTTATTATTTTTTATTTTTTATCTTTAATGATAAACTCTTAGTTAAAAAGATTTGGTTCAAATCTACTTATTTGGTTTAGGTTTCTTTATATATATATATATATATGTGTATTACATGATTTCATAAATTGTTACAAACGAATGAAATTGTGTATACATGTTGATCAAACAAATAGACTTTGTTTCAAACTTTCAATTTTATGGGACATATGAATTAAAACTATAGCGTATTTCAAGCTATGTAAATGTGTTACATCTATATCATCTAATACAGGTTTAACTTATGTAGAATTGAAGAGAAAGGTTGATAATTGATAAACCTTGTCGTCTCTTGTTTTTGGACTATAAAATAAAGAAGTTGAAATTGAGCTCTACCGATTTAACTTGGGCCATAAAGTAGAGGCCCAGTAAAAGTAATGAGTAATAAGAATTAAAAAAAAGAGAGAGAGACTCACCTGACAAAGTTCACCGGAGAGTCTAGATCTCTCTTCTCTTCCACATCGAAGTTTGATTCGTCACCGGCGAAATCCTTTTTCTCCGACGACATAATGCCGGTAAATCCCTCTCGCAATGTGTAATTCTAGATCTCTAAGATCTGTTTCCCGCTTTATTTTCTCTTTTCGTTTACTGATTGATTCATAATTCTCCTGTGACATCCTGCGGATTTGCAGTATAAGACGGTGATAGAAGTGGAGCCTCCGAGTCTGTTGCGGTACTTGATCGGAGCAGCGGTGATGATGATCGGCGTCGTATTACCCGTTGGTTACATGATGTTCCGCAACAAACGCGTCCCCTTCTCGTCTTCGTATTCTAAACAGACGTAGGTGTGCTTTTTTCTTTTAGTCTTCTGTGTTCCTTTCATCTGAACCGGAAAGAACACTACGCAGCTTTAGGCTTAGTCAAAAATTCACAATTCGTCAGCTGTTGATTGCTTTACAGGGATGGTCAAAATTGGATAGTATTGTAACAAGTTCTGGTGTGTTAGGAGATCAGTAACCATCATTTTAGTTCGCCATGAAATTGAAAACCTAAGCTTGGTGTGTTGGAGATCAATAACTTGCTGTGGGGTTTAAGCTGAAGTCTACTAAAAATTGAATAAGTTAGGGAAGTGAATTAGCATTGTTCTATAATCCTTACTATTTGGGAATGTTGATTCAGTCTCAAACTAGGATTAGAGGCAATTTTGATGGTGGAAGAGATATAAATAATCTGTATGTGTCCAGTGCGAATGGGAGAATTGAAGCTTTGTTGAAAATGTTAGCCCCTTTCAATTGCTTTGTAGAGACTGAAAGCTTAGTGTACTTTGTGTGTTTGGATCGAGTTCAGGTGGGGAATCCATGGTTGATAGATGATCAAAAATTATAGTTGCTTGCTCCTCTTCGTTAAAGCTTGTTTAGGCTAATATTGGAAAGGTAGTCCTTTTGCTAGTCAAGTAACTCCGGAGTTTATCATGCTCACCGATTGGTACTAATGATCTGATACTTATCTTTACGTTTCAGGAACAAAGTTTTGATATAGAAGCCTCAGAGGCTGCAGTTGAATTCAACTGAACTGAGAAGGATGATGATGACATATTGATACGGACGACTGTAAAATTATGGTGGAATTCTTGTTTTTTTACATGGCTTGTAAGAGATCCTTCCATAACGCATTCATAAACTATAGTCTTCTTTGTTTAGGTTATTCAAGGTCTATTATGTACACAACCTCTTCTCTTTGGTGGAAAGATTTCATTCGCTGACTAGAGTTAGCATGAACCACAAATTTATATAATACTTAAAACTTAATTCTTTCCATTGGCTTTGCTTTTATTATTTGGTTTTCTGTTTCACTGTACTAAACGAAATGTTGATGATATGCTTCAGTAAAAACTCTGTTCAAAGTTTCAGAACACTACAAAATAGTAGATAACGATCTATGGATGTCCGATTAGGGCAATCACAAAAGCTGTTCATGAGCATAGTAGCCTCAATTAGAGACAAACATAAACACTTTTCGGAATTGATTTAGAATTTGGTCAGATTGTGATCCTGCATAACATAATATGCAAATCCTAGAAGAGCAAAAAAAACAACAGTGTGTGGTATGTAGTTAGTGCATAACGTCATCTACTCATCCATCTCCCCAATGCTTGTCCGACGCGGACCCTGTCTCCTTGTTTGACACAGAATCTGTAATCTGAAGAACTGCTTGAATCATCGGGTGAGTTTGCAGTCGGTGCTTGGAAAACAAGCACCACGGTCGATCCCATGTTGAATACACCAACCTGCATTGATCCATACATGAAACCATTTATCAATGTGAAATTGTGAAGAAAAGATATTTCTTACAATTCTACAATTGCAATTTTTATTTTCTATCTTTTGGACCATACTCTCTTACCTCTTTCCCTTTCTCGAGCTTTAAGCCATGACCTTTCGGATCATATACTCGCTCCTCTGGTGGCTCTGTAGGAAACAGCTTCTTCTTTGGCTTGTTTGTTCTTAGTTCAGGTTCAATGAAAAGCTATCAAAGCAAACGTCAGCGAGTTCCTTAATGTCTAGAGCTTAAGGTTTTCAATTTGCATCAGACATACCTCAATGGATCCAATGTTGGTCGCACCAACAGCAGCAACTGCCATAAAGCCTTCTTTCCATAGCCCTTCAAGCACAACCTGTTAGATTAACAGCTGATGATCAATGTCCGTCTGGAACAAACAGAAAAAACAGCCGGACTTATTTGGTTAGGAGAGCTACAATGAATCACAAAAATTACCCTTTCATTTTCGACATAGAGATTCCTTATCGTTCTTGTAGCACGCTCATTCACGGGAAACAACCGACCTGAAAAAGGGTTTCGAGAGGTGCCAATAGTTACAAAAGTCCAATCACGCATAGGTTATTAGGTTCTAAAAGTAGTTGCAAAAGGCCAATCACACAGGCTGTATACTTAAAATGAAGGACAGAGTAACCAAACCTGCAAAGTGTCGACGAACCATTGCATTCCAGTCAGCCGGAGAGTGTATTCGATGATAGTCCCCTGGTTTTAGATATATCACACAATAGTAGAGCCCCTTCATTGGACTGCAACCAAGACTTTATGAAATAAGATGCGGTTTTTTAACAGCAAAGTCGGTTGCTAGATGTTTAAGGTTGACTTTTCACTGACCTAGCTGAGATGTCCTCCCGTAATTTTGGAGATGCCAGAGAGACTCTCAACCAAGAATTGTCGCTCTTATCTCCAACAGCTTCTTCCTCAGACTTATCTTTACCTTCAGGTTCCATGGGAAGCAGAGAGTTGTTTCCTAGAAGAGCCGGTACTGAGTAAGAATGTCCTTTGACTTGCTCGATCATCCCTCTACTTCCTTTTAGCTCCCCAAACCTTAGAACGGTTCCATCCACAGGACTAACCTGATATCCTCACAATATTAGAGAACAGACTAAGAAAGAAAGTCTGTATCGACAGAGTTACAACGTTATTGTTACCGGTTACCAGACAACAAGGATCGGGGTCGACAGGCCTGCAACCTTCTTTCAAGCTACGAACAAAGAAATCCCGTAACGAAGCATATTCTTTAAGAGGCAGAGCTGCTTCTTCAAGATCTGGAAACACAGATAGATCAGTCTGGGAATCAATTTATCACATTTTCCTCTAGATTCAAACCAACAGCAGAGGTACACAAAAAAAAAAAGTGATCATACTTGAATGAAAAGCTCGAGCCCAGGCTTTATAAGCATACGGACGCATCCAGACCGGAATTTCCTGAGAGTGGAAAAAACTAATAGTTTAAAACCATGTTCAGCAGTTACTACAAATGTTACAACAATAAGAACTCACCAGACTCATTAAGGAGCCCCAAGCTCTTGAGATTGATCGCAGAGGCAGAATTCCAAGGAATGAGGCCTAGATAACCACAATCACACGGATGAACACATTAAGATTCGAGAACTTACGGACATTGAAGACTAAGAGAACAAGAGCAAAAAAAGAGTATTACTTTAACATCTTGGTGGAACTCAAGTTCGATTCCCCTTTCCCGTTTCTCTTCGATCTGTTCTTAAACCAGAAAAAATCAATACTAAGAAAATGCACCAAACTCTATGGAAAGAACCTTGCCAATGTCAACCGACCAAGTGGGTTACTACATTACCTTCTTGTCTTCATAGAGCCGTCTAGCATGAAGAGCTCCAAGCATAAGAATAGTAGCCATTGTTGCTCCGGGCAAAAGAAAAGCATTGCCTACATTGAAAAATACAACAATGACTCAAGCTGCAAAACCATAGAATTGTCTAACTGAAACTTCATCAAACTTCATTAAAACTCAGAATCATTTCATGTCTAATGAGAAGCAAGTTAAACCATTCTCAATTGTAATCTCAGAAAATTATAACTATGTAAAGGAGCTTCATAGCATATATGTTGTAATTACCTCCTTTAGAATCTCCGGTTCCACCACCTCCGCCACCGCCACCGCCGTGAGAAGAAGCGCGAGCGCCGAAGTGATTCGAACGGATATTATTGAGGAAAGAGCTAAAGGTTCGGCGATGAGTATAGTGGAAGCGGCGGAGATGTGTATAGCGAGCCAACAAATAGACATTTTGAGAAAACCGAGGCCTCATGGCGTTTTTCCGGTGGCTTTTGCTCCGACTCAGAGAGGGGTTTTAGGGTTGCTGTTGACTGTTGGTTGGTTGACTCAAACAAACAGTTTTCAACGACAGCTAAAACGACTGCGTTTTCGCCTTGCGGTTCGCTCTTTCTTTATTTTACGCTTGCGAAACCAGACATTTTATTCTTATTGGGCCTTGAGTGATCTTTTATAGCCCATCAATTGTATAAATCAAGTGTGAAGTACTCTCAAACGAAGAAATTCGAAAATGTTTCGATTCACCGAAGACAATGGTAGTGTTGTTATCCGTCGCTTGGAATCTCCGTGAAAGGTTCGATACATTTAACTCCGGCGAATCAATCAAAACCTCGATCTGACCAATTTTGTCGAAATTTAAAGCTTCTTCGATTCTGCTTACTCTAACACACGACCAGTGGGTGTTTTCGCAGCTTTCAGGTTTATCTCAAATCTCAAATTAGATCCGGAATCGAGTTTTACCTTCTTTTTTTCTTCCTATAGACTGATGTTTTAGGAAACGGAGTCTAGTTCTGGAATCGTTGATCTCGATAGATTATTAGATTTCTTCAAACACACATAATTTGAGCCAATTGCTTCCGTTTTGATCGTATCGTAGGATCTTCACCCGATTCCAGAGTCAAAATCGAGTGTGTGTAAAAATGGAAGATAGCGAGAATTCAAAGAAGAGAATAGTGTTTGTGACTGTAGGAACAACGAGTTTCGATGCTCTTGTGAAAGCAGTCGTGAGTGAACATGTTAAAGACGAGTTGCTCAAAAGAGGATACACTCATCTTCTCATTCAGATGGGTCGTGGTATCTTTTTCCCAACTAAGGTTTGTTATTTATCTTCTCCACTCACTTCATTGAATGGGCTGTGATTTTGAAAATTTGATTCGGGGCATAACTAAATCTGATAGGCTTATTATTACTTTACAATGAATCTCAAATTAACAACATTTTGACCCAAAAAAAGTGCTACAATTTTGGTTTGTTCTCATGTATCTTTGATCATTTGTTTCTCTCTTGTTGTTGTTGTTGTTGTCACTCCCTTCAGTTTTTCTCGCTTACTTATTATACTATACTCGTCTCTTGTTGAAAATTTTGTTGTTCTTATGTGTTTTGTTTTCTCATTACTGATTCAGTGTGAGGGAGCGGATGGATCATTAGTTGTGGATTACTTCACATTTTCCTCGAGTATCGCAGATCATATTCGATCTGCATCTCTTGTTATTAGTCACGCTGGTTAGTTGACAACTTATACATTAATAGATTTAGAAACCTGAGACTGAGTTCGATACTCTAGAATGTCATCATTTTTCAACTCTCTCAATGGTGCAGGATCTGGAAGTATATTTGAGACACTAAAGCTAGGGAAACCACTGATTGTGGTTGTGAACGAAGATCTGATGGACAATCATCAATGTGAATTAGCTGAAGCACTTGAAGAGAGGAAGCACTTGTACTACACTCGTCCCCACACTCTTCATCAAACCTTAACGAAAATGGAATTGGAGTCTCTTGTTCGATATACTCCAGGAGACGGAACCCCTGTTGCTCGTATTATCGACAGATTCCTCGGATTCCCTGATGATTGAGCTGACATATGAAAACAAGTTTTTTTATTTCCAGATTCAACTGAATATGCTTAACTTAACTGGTGTGACAGATTCAATTTCATTATAGCAAAGCTTTTACTGATATTTAAGAGGATAAACAGTTTGTTTCAATGGGTATGTATCATTCTAAAAACATCCTTTTTTTTGGTCAATCGCAAAACATATTATCATTGCTGAGATTGCCAGTAGCATGCATCTTCCTAGAAAAATAATTCCTTAAAACTTCGTTAAAAATTATTATTAGAGACAGAATAATACAGCACCAAAAGTTTTAAGTTTCGAGCAACGACTTTAATATATTGGACATAAAGTCATAAGTAGTAGACTAGCAATCGATCGTATTGCAAAGGTATTTCGATAGTTAAACTTCAATTCTCAAAAATGGAAAAAGAGATGAACAAAAACGCAATCAAATATAAAATTTAGGATTAAAGCATACTTGAAAAGCAATTGTATAGTATCCAAAATTTGCAAAAACAAGTCAACTTGCGAGAGATAAAAGTGCAACAACATGGAGCTTAGAAGATGATAATAAAAGCAAACAGCAATTAACGGTAACGACGAAGGGAGATGGAGTTGTTCTTCTTCCATGTAGCTCTGCGAGATGGGCGGTTCTTGTGGTTGTTGTGACCCTTTCCACGAAGACCTCTGTTCTTCTTTCCCTCTGAAGTAAGTCCTCTGAGCTCACGGTGCTTGTGAACTGGGTTGCAGATCCAGTTGATCCTCGGGTCATTACGGACAGCATTGTGTGCTGGGTCAACCAAGATGATCTCGTAGTACTTGTAAGTCGAATCCTATTGAAAACAATTGGTAAATTAACATCTGTTATCTGTAAAACCAAGAGTCACCAAAATGGAGTTCTGAAAATAGGTAGTAAGTATACCTCATTGAGCCAGTAAGAGTTGACAACTCTGAGACCACCCAATTTCCTGCCAGCACGCTCCTCAGCAACAGATCGCTTGCTACGCTGGAACTTGAGTTGTGTCACTCCCTGGTTTGTAGGCTTACCATACACAATACCCTTGGGCACTGGCCTCTTGCGTCCACCACGTCTCACACGGACACGGTACACAACAAAGCCCTAAACAAACATCAACAACCCAACAAGATTAGTACCAGATTCTGAAGCTAGAGCAAGAACTATCTTTACATGTACCAGTCAGAACAAGAGCTAGATTTGTATAAAAGTATAAATCAGCATATCAGACTGGCTAGTTTCATGTAGCTGGTCATGGGAGGGATTCAATCACTAACACACAATTTTCAGAAATGGCGTGTTTCAAGAGACCACATAACCAGTAACGCTTCTAAATCTCTACTAACAACGCAAAAAAACATCAAACTCAACCAACAGAGGCTAGATCATACGCAGATATCACAACAATATCAAAAAAAAAACCTCACTATCTACCTTACAGGATCTCATTTCTACCAATATCAATCAACTCCTACAAAACTCATTTGACAGTTGAGCAACAAAGTTCACTAGCCTCATTATATACGAGGCAACATTAGTAAAAACTACAACAAGGACGAGAAATTTAGGATGAAATCAATCACCTGCTTGGCCTTGTAACCCAAACGACGAGCCTTATCAGGACGAGTAGGCCTAACGAGACGAACAATCGAAGGTTGCTGTCTGTACTCCCAGCACCTCACCCTCTGGAGGAACCTCATCACATCGGACTGTTTCTTCCTCCATAGCTCCGATACATACTTGTACGCACCTAAGGTTCACCAAAATCCATTTAGCTAAGTAGCTCGTAATAACAGATCCGCAACACATACATCATTTGGAAAAACATAGCAGGAGAATGGATCTAGACGAAAGATGGAGAAGATCGAATTTACCCATTTTCCAAGTTTCGCAGAGCCGCACACCAGTGTCTCAATGAAGGGTTTCTTCCTGATTTAAAGTAAAGGACTAGGGTTTTATCTCCGATGGAGCTTTATATTATATCTAATTGGGCTACTTTAATTTAATATAAAATAGCCCATAAGCAAGAAGCACTTAATGGGCTTTAGTATTCAGATTCGGCCCTTTTATATTATCTGTGACATTAGCTAGATTTAGATGTGATATACATACGTACGTTGTTTGTTACTTTGTCATGATGTGTGTTTATGAGGGAGACCTAGAGACATGTTAGGTTGTTAGTGAAGTGAGATGTGATAAGGTGATATGGATATTTCTAATAAGTGTTAATTAGAGAAGATAACATTAAGACATGATGGAGATGGTTACAGGTTTAGCCTGTGAATATAGTCGGGACATGTTACTATTGCAGGATTGTATATTTGGTCTAAGTACAGTGGGTAGGGGTTATATGATGTGGCTCGTTAACGGCTGATAAGCTAGAGATGGAGATATGTGCACATAACATATATATGTTTGGTTAGTTTCAATTATATTGAATGATGCTAATTGCTTCAATATTTGTGTGAGTTTTTGTGATCAGAATACTATCAACGAGGTCGATCACATGTCAAAAATGATATGATCCTTAACTAAAACATGGTTATTAAGCTAATCAACTACGACACGGAACAAGTAACAAACTATCACAGCTCGAAAGCACGTTTGATTTATTGTGATTAGACCTTTTCGTTTCGTATCCCTTAAAAATTATAATTGGGTTTTTGTAAAAATGTTTTAGACTTATCTGGTTGAACATTCAAAATTGAAAACCATCACCGCACATCATGGAAGAAAGAAAAAAAAAAAACAATATGTGTCCTAGGAGTACTATATATCTTTCGTACTTGTATTTTCAAATCGTGTTTTACGTTGGTATATTCAAAATAGGTATAACTGCGATCCACGATATATATGTTTTTATGATCCGATATACTCCTATATGGTTTAAATTAAAAGTGTTTCAACTTATAGTATGTATGTGCGAATTCCATTAATTAAACAAAAAAAAATTATTGACTTCTTCCGGAGATATATTCTTTAATGAAAAAAACTTTATTGCTAAAAATGATGATCACATGCATAAATTTGAGACTTGAGAGATTTTAACTGATTTAAATGGTACTACTTTTCCTCGGCCTCCTCGTGTATAAAAATAGATACATCAAGTGTAGTGCTTTTGACAGAGTGAAAAAAAAAACGAATAAGCCACAAAAGTCTTTTTTCCAAAAAAAAAAAAAAAGCGACAAAAGTCTTTATGTTCCATATATTTTCCTAATAAACTCGTCAATATACAAATGGCTACTCTAAACTTCCCATTCAGTTCAGCTTTTGTTTGCAACAGCCATCATCAAAACACTCAGCAGTACTTCCATTGCAAGGCAGTCTCCAAAACGACATCGGCTCATGCTGCAGTCACCGTCCGTCGCCGTTCTGCCAATTATAAGCCGCCTCTATGGGATCATCAGTATCTCCTTTCTCTCGACAATATATACGTGGTACGTACATTCAAACATTTCATAATACTAAACGTGCACTATTCATCCAAATTCCAAACATATGCCACTTCTGGTTTTTTTTACTGACAATATATCAGAGTGATTTTTTTTTTTATAAACACTCTTAACATATATGCTTTAAACCGGACATGCATAGTATATTATAGATGCATGTAGTATATTAATAACTACACAGTGCTCTCTCTCTCTCTCTGTATATATAGAAAGAAGTTGAAACCAAGGAAAAAGCTAATAAGCTGTTGAAAGAGGAGGTGAGGAAGAAACTAGGTGAAATTGATCAAAGTTCTATTGAGCAGCTAGAAATGATCGATTCTCTGCAAAGACTCGGAATCTCGTATCACTATAAACAAGAAATCCATGATATTTTGAAAAACATTCATGACCAACGCGGCGAAATTGAGAGGGATGCTACATCTCTTGAATTTTTTCTCCTAAGGCAACATGGTTTTGATGTCTCTCAAGGTCTTTTACATATTACATCATTATATTATAATAGCTTGTAGATGTTAAATTATGCGAACAATATTCAAGTAGTCGTTCCAATATCAAGATTCTTTCGATTCTTTCGTTAAAATAATGAGTATAAGAGTATTCGTATTTCATATTGCAGATGATTTTGACGTTTTCAAAAGTGAGATCAGAGAAACTCTAGGCAGCGATATCAAAGGTTTCCTTTCTCTATACGAAGCTTCTTATTTTTCAACGGACTCGGATTTTAAACTCAAGGAGGCTAGACTTTACGCAAGTGAGCGATTAAGTGAGTTTGTGGCAGAAAATAGCAAAATTTCTTTCAGAGAAGATGAAGCTTATATGTTAGAGATGGTGAAACGAGCACTAGAAACGCCGTACCATTGGAGCATACGAAGATTAGAAGCAAGATGGTACATAAATGTTTACGAAAAAAAGCATGATATGAACCCTCTCTTACTACAGTTTGCAGCACTTGATTTCAACATGTTACAAGCTAATCATCAAGAAGAACTCAAACTAATTTCTAGGTAATTAATTTCTATACATGTGTAATATATGTCTCTCAAACTGGATTATATATATATATATATGTTTATAATTAGCTGATCCTCACAATTTAATGTTAGTTGGTGGAACAGCAAAGGACTTATGAAACAACTTGATTTCGTGAGAGACCGAATCACAGAGAGTTATTTTTGGACCGTTGGAATATTTTTCGAGCCAGAGTTTGAATACTACCGCAAGATACTCACCAAAATATTAATGTTAATTGCGATTATGGATGATGTCTACGATATCTATGGTACAATAGAGGAGCTCGAAATTTTCACAAATGTGGTTGAAAAGTAAGTATATCGGGTACATATATATTTGATACAATTCCAAATTATTTTTGAATTATTTACTCTTAAACTAGTTAATAATTATAAATAAAGGTTGCAAACACTATAAGAAAAAAGAAATAATGGGATTTATTTAATAGACAAATTTTTATGTAGGGTAAATAAATCATGTTCTGAATTGTATTTCCCATGATACAGTATATATTTATTAGTCAACAGCCATGCTAATCAAGAACAATCCATATAATATACACTTTTTTCAGATGGGATGTGAACCATGTTGAAAGACTTCCCAAATACATGAAAATATGTTTTCTTTTTCTATACAATGAGATCAACCAAATTGGATACGATATCCTCAGAGACAAAGGACTTAACGTTATACCTCACCTCAAACAAGTTGTAAGTTTTTCTATAAATCATTTAGTATATACAAAATGTTCTTTTCGAGACATTTTTTTTTCTTAATTTTATTAATTAATTTACGTAGTGGACGGATCTATTTAAAACGTTTCTAACGGAAGCGAAGTGGTACAAAAATGGGCACAAACCAAGTTTTGAAGAATACATGCAAAATGGTGTGATATCAAGTTCTGTCCCAACGATACTGCTCCACATTTTCTCCGTCCTCTCTGACCACATCTCCGACGAAACCTTAACAGTTGTTTCGAAAAAGCACCACTCTGTCGTCCGGAGCTGTGGCACCATTCTCCGTCTCGCTAATGATCTCGCCACCTCAACGGTACAGTTGACTCGATTTTTATTTATTGAAAAGTTTTTTTTTTTAAGTTTAAAAAATTGGTAAAATTTCACTTGAATAGTTTAGTTAATAAGTCGCTCATAAAATTGGTATATCAATCTCATTTAGACATTTTACTATAGATATATATTGATTCTTCCTGACCAAAAAAGTTCAGCATATCCAAAAATGAGTGATGATGACTTGATGAATTGTACTATATGTACTAAATAATTTGTTTATGTTTTCACATTTTAATTATTTTATTCTAGCTCATGTAAGTTACACTATTTACAACATTATTTTTCTATATATATAATAGACCTTTCAAAAATAGAAATTCAGTAATTTACAATAACTAATAACTGTTTAATGTTTCGTGATTATTCAAAATGATCATAATGTTTTCGCTATTTATTATTTTGTCCTTATATGGTTACTAGCTAGATTAATATGAAATTGAGTTTGAATAGTCATAATATAAAGTTTGGGATGAAAAATGAAGAACCATATACATATATATAGATAAATCATGAGGATCCCATTATTAGAAAAAAAAAATCATAAAATCACTAGATTTTAATTATTTAACAGGAAGAGATTGCAAGAGGAGATTCACCAAAGTCAGTCCAATGTTACATGTACGAGACAGGAGCCAGCGAGGAAGAGGCACGTGAACACATGCAAAGTATGATCAGCGACTCTTGGGACATCATAAACTCCGATTTCAAAACTTCATACACTTCTTCTCTTCCTCTTGGTTTCGTGGCAACCGCCGCAAATCTCAACCGAGTGGTACAGTGTATCTACCGGCACGGTGATGGCCACGGCAGCCCTGAAAAGACCAAGATCGTTGATTATATCCACTCCGTACTCTTCAATCCCGTTCCTTTGTAGGATTGTAATTTTGTATTTACCCCATAATAAATAAATTTTCATAAGAACAAAATATATTTGGTATGATGCACAAAAAAAAAATCATATTGCACCAAACCCTCTTCTTTTAGTATTCTACAAATGTATACATTCATAGATGATATAAGCCTTAAAGTCATTTTGTGTCGCCTTTTTATTAACCTCAAGATCAAATCCCAATTTTACTTTTTTGTTTCTTTTACCTATTAGGCGTCTCGTGATGAGGAAAGATATCTAAGTTGGATTATAACATAGTAGTGGTAACTTCAATCCTATGAGCTTAATAAACTCCGGCAAAAGTACGTAAATCATATATAAATTTACACCGAATCTCCTGATATTATGAAATATGAACGGTAGAGAAGTTAGAGGAGCTAGAATTAGGTACCGTGACTCCATGAGATAACTTGGACATCGGCGTGACGTCTTTGCATGCCCACATGCGATTGTTCATTTCCACCTCTCTTCTTAGTGGTCCAACAAATTTTTCCCCTCAGTTGTCATTCAAGACAGAGATATGCAATCACATGGAGACACGAATCGATAGTTATATTTTTGGGGTTTTTATTTACAATAATTTCGAACAAGCAGACAAGGTATATGTAAGGAACGCTTCGTATTTTAAAATAGCCAATAAAAATACTCAGTTCGGTGTACTATTTGGTATTCGCCATGCAATTACCATAAACTACACTGATCTATCACGTACTAGCTATTAAAAGAAAACAGTACGAGCACCCAACGGTATCGGTTTGGATACCCAAACGAGTATTTCTAAATTTAAAATTATTGATATGTTTGGTTATAGATTAATTTTTAATTCTAAAATAAAATAATAAACCAGTCAATAGGAGACAAATGTAAATATGGTTATTCTACTTAAGATACCCAAGGTTCTTATTTAAGAATCTTAAACATCTCTCAATGGATATATCATATATATGTACGTTTTATACCATGCCCACAATTTCGTACTTCCATAACATTTGTATCCACAAAAATGTTGTACTCACAAAAATATCTACGCCTCCAGATAACAAGTTTAGCACGTTTAAAATTTGATCTGAAAGCAAGAAACCTTAAAAAGATTGTGTGGATATATACTTACGAAATGTTTTAGCCATTTACTTCTCCAAGATATTTTTTTTTCTTCTTTGGTATAATACTTCTCGTCCTAGGATGCTTTATAGTCAATATATTTTTTTTTTTCAGAAAAGGTTAATCAAGATATTTATGTGTCACACTGAAACTTTTCTGGTGGGTAGACTGATCATATGCTAATTCGTGACTACATTGATGTAAACATTATTATTTTCCTAGACCACAGAATGAAAAATATCTTTGTAATCTGTGATCCAAACCCAAACCTTTTAAACAGTATAAAATCTCATCATGGAGTCTAAAAGAGTATTCATCAAATTATTAGTGTTGAAGCAAAAAAAATGCCTAAACGACAGACTCATGATCCACGTTTCATTCGGAAGGCTGAGTCGTCGAAAACACAATCACAGCCTCTTGTAGCCCGTCGCTCAGCAAACTACCAACCGTCTCTATGGGAGCACGAGTATCTCCTCTCGCTCGGTAATACATATGTGGTACGTGTAAAGATCTAGATGACTTCGTGTGAAATAAAACTATATATTATATAACTATTCATGAAGTTATAGTTGTGACAATATTCTATACAATGCAGAAGGATGACAAACATCGAGAGGGCTAAGTTATTGACGAATCAAGTGAGTAAAATGTTGAATGAAACGGAGGGTTTACCCGAACAGCTAGAGCTCGTAGACATTTTACAAAGACTTGGCGTTTCTTATAATTTCGAAGGTGAAATCAAGAAGATTCTAACGAATGTACATCGAAAAAACGTGAGAGCAGACAAAAGCCAGATGGATCAAAAGAGATGGGAAGACTTATATGCGACTGCTCTCGAGTTTCGACTCCTAAGGCAACATGGTTTTGATATCGCACAAGGTTGAAACACTAAAATACAAATGAATAATCCATATTTTAGATTCCTTATTACAACTCAAACTTTAGAAAACGACAAATCTAGTGTTGATTTCAAGTTCTGTTTCCAGATTCTAACAAAGGTAACATGGTTATACTAGATTTTGATATTGACTTTCTTACATAATGAAATAAAATTGCAATGTACTGCAGATGTTTTTGACAGAACTTACGGAGATGGTTTGGATGATGAAGATTTCAAGAGTATTCTTTCACTATACGAAGCTTCATACCTCTCGACCAGATTCGATACGAAACTGAAAGAGACTATATATTTCACAACAGAACGGCATAGAAACTTTGTGAAAAGGAAGAAAACTGAGACCAAACCTTATGTTCGGAAAATGGTGATACATGCTTTAGAAATGCCTTACCATCGGAGAGTTGGAAGACTAGAAGCAAGATGGTACATAGGCGTGTACGGAGAGAGAGACGACATGAACCCTATCTTGCTCGAATTCGCTAAACTTGATTACAATATCGTTCAAGCTATACATCAAGACGAGCTCAAATATCTTTCTAGGTACGTTTACTTAACTTGAATTTGACCCTTCTTTTTCTGTTTGTTTTTGGTGCATGATTTCTATTTATTCATGAAATATTGTATAATTTGTATTTCTAAACTGTGAACACAATATTTTAATATGTAAACGCGTACGATATACTATGTTTGAAACGTTAAAGACATAGATTTTTGATTATATATGTTTTTTTGGTATGTTCTATGAATTAAGCAGCTGGTGGAGCAAGACAGGATTAACTGAACACCTTGATTTCGTAAGAGATCGAATAACGGAGAGTTATTTCTCGAGCGTTGGAGTGATATATGAGCCCGAGTTTGCTTATCATCGACAAATGCTTACAAAAGTTTTCATGCTTATTACAACTATCGACGATATATACGATATCTATGGGACACTGGAGGAGCTCCAACTATTCACGACCATAGTTGAAAAGTAATATTATTATCCAAATTAATTATTTTACTATACTATATCTTTCTTTTTTTTTAATCACTTCACTGAATCGAATCTTTAATGCAGATGGGATGTGAATAGTCTTGAAGAACTTCCCGAGTACATGAAGTTATGTTTTCTCTGCCTCGTCAATGAAATCAATCAGATTGGATATTTTGTTCTCAGAGATAAAGGATTCAATGTGATCCCTTACCTCAAAATATCCGTACGTACTTATCAAGTATTCTAGTTGTTAATTATGTTAGTCCATGGACTATTTTAGTGATACATTAAACTAAGCTAAGTTAGCTATAAATGTTGTTGATGTATCAGTCAGAATTTTTGAGCTAAAAGACCAAGATCTATCGCTAATTGTAAATTTAATATTTTATATGAATCTTAAGAAAAAGAAAAAAACACGAATATTTGAACGTTCTTTGTTATATTTTTTTTTCAAGAAATATTTTCAATTTAATATGAATCTGTTTATAACTTTATTTTTGTCTTTCTAGTGGGCAGATATGTGTAAAACGTTTTTAAAAGAGGCAGAGTGGTACAAAAGTGGTTACAAACCCAACTTCGAAGAATACATGCAAAATGGCTGTATCTCAAGCTCGGTCCCTACCATACTTGTACACTTGTTCTGTCTCTTCTCCGACCAAACCTTAGATATTCTCGTCTCTTATCATCACTCTGTTGTTCGAAGCTCTGCCACCATCCTTCGTCTCGCTAATGATCTCGCCACTTCTTCGGTTAGTCATGGTTCCATAACGTAACACACAATAATAGAGTTTTTAACAAACCATGACAAGCGTTTTTTTAATAACAAAAACCGAAAATTGAATTTATAAATAAATTTCAACCAAAAGCCAAAAAAGAAGAAGTGATTTTAATACTACTCTCTGTTCCTATTTAATCTTTTTTTTTTTAGATTTTTCACACATTAAAGAAAAAATATTAAAATTTAAAAGTTAGTTTTGTATTTGATTTACGATTTTCTATAATTTTAACCAATAATGTTACATAGAAAATCTTTTAAAAAGTTATTTTTCAAAACAGGAGGAATTAGCGAGAGGCGACACTATGAAATCCGTACAATGTCACATGTATGAGACTGGAGCTTCAGAAGCAGAGTCATGTGCGTACATTCGACGAATGATCGGTGTGGCTTGGGATGACTTGAACTTGGAGAAAAGAATTTGTAGGCTACATCAAGGTTTCGTTGAAGCTGCGGCTAATCTTGGACGTGTGGCTCAATGCGTTTATCAGTATGGTGATGGCCATGGCTGTCCCGACAAAGCTAAGACCATCGATCATGTCCGGTCCTTGCTCATCCACCCCATTCCACTTGATTAATTAATTAGTCTCTCATATGTAATAAGTGTTAAACCACGCAAATAATGGATTATTAGTTCAAAGAGATGAGAGATGCATATATACTTCTCTCCTCAATTAATAAATTGTGTACTTTCGCTAGCTTTTCTCAATATCATGAGCTTGTAAAATCAAGTTCGATATGGCTTCAAATGGTAACATTTAGAAGTATAGATAGAAAATGAAGACACTGGCTAGTTTCTCATATTCGTCATTTTCAAAATTCTCATTTTTGTATTAGACAAAATATTTGTTTCTTTGACAAAGGAGATCTTGAAACTACGAGGCATATTGAACAGCAAAGAGACGTTCTTCTTTACTACAAGAAAATTGTGAGATGGTATTTCTTATGCTACTAGTTCTGAATCCAAACTTAATTCTTTTTCACGAGAAAGACGTCGGAGTAGATTTGCGGTTTTTCAACCAAGTGATAGATAACTGAAAACAGAAAAAGAAAGACCAATGGATGTCATTGAATTACGCTAGCTGTCTATACAGAAGTGAGTAGACTAATGTTATGCAAACATCAACTCACACTAAAAAGATATATAAACACGATAAGATCCGGTTTTAATTGTGTTCAGTGTTCCTAAAATTAGAATTAATGTAAAGGTTAATTATAGGCAAGTTAAGCTAATAATACGGAATGAAAAATACATTAGCATAACCGTTACGGACTAGTTAATTAACCAAATAACCTCTCCATCCACATCTCTCCCTTTGGATCGAGACATCTCCGATCCATTCTTCTCTCTGTCAGCCAAAATCCCCACTTCAACAAATCGCAAAGATCAATTCAAGGTAATACATACTTATCTCTCTTTCTTGATTTAGGGTTCTTTTTTTTTTTCTGCAAGTTACTGGAAACTCAAATGGATTTTTTTATTTTTTTGGATGATCAGGTTTATTGATCTATTGCGGAATTAGGGTTTGCGAGTTTGAATCGGAGATTTTAAAAACATAAAATAAAATCCGTGATGGAGTGTTTAGCACGCATAGATGAATTTTGCAATCGAAGGGTTTAATATTATTATTAAAAGATGGTGAATATGAAAAGTCCTTTACGGGTATTCATAGAGGTTTCGATAAAGGAATTAATTAAGGGTTTCAGGAGGCAAAGGATCAGATGGAGAAATGCGTTTCTTCTCGGTTCTATATTGACCACCATTGTTGTTCTGCTTCACACACCAACGTTTTCAGTTTTCTCTGATGATGATGAAGAAACTGAGTCTTCTTCTTCTTCTTCTTCTTCTTCGCCTATTTACTTGAACGGTTCTCTGCATTTGAATATCCAAATTGTTAGGGAAGCAAAGGTTGAAAGTTTTGATGATCTTACAGCAACTCCTACGGTGCAATTGAATGCTTCTGAAGAAAGTGGAACCCTTCTTTCTACAAAAAGTCGAAAAAGGAAGAGAAGAAGGAAGATTAAAGATGATCTGATTCTCCCTGATCCTCCACCAGCACCACGGCATGTTCTATCTTCTTCAGAGGTCAGAATCAGAGTTTTTTCTTCTAACTTTGTCTGTGTTTTTATCTCAATCCTCAACTTACTCCAACTGCAATCTCTACAATTGATGAGCAGAGACGTGCTCTTTCCTTGCCACCCAAGAAAGCTCTTGCTTATGCAAAACTCGAGATTCAGCGTGCCCCGGAGATTGTAAATGACACGGATCTGTTTGCTCCCCTGTTTCGCAATCTCTCTGTTTTCAAAAGGTATATACTAATCTCAAAAAGACACGAGTGTGTTTGAACCAAAGTTAACACTCGACTTTGTTTTCAGGAGCTACGAGCTTATGGAACTAATACTAAAGGTCTACATATATCCTGACGGTGACAAACCCATCTTCCACACACCGCATTTGAACGGTATCTATGCATCAGAAGGTTGGTTTATGAGGTTAATGGAGTCGAACACACAGTTTGTCACAAAGAACCCTGAGAGGGCTCACTTATTCTACATGCCATACAGTGTGAAGCAGCTTCAGAAAACTATCTTTGTCCCTGGATCACATAACATAAAGCCTTTATCGATCTTTCTTAGAGACTACGTCAACATGCTCTCCATCAAGTACCCGTTCTGGAACCGCACTCATGGATCAGATCATTTTCTCGTCGCTTGCCACGATTGGGTAATAGAAATGTTTATATTTAAGGAACAAATCACTTCGATCTTTTTTAGGTTATGATCTCTGTTTCCAAAACCATCCTTGTGCAGGGTCCTTACACTGTGAATGAGCACCCGGAGCTAAGAAGAAACACTATTAAAGCTCTCTGCAACGCAGACTTATCAGACGGGGTCTTTGTCCCGGGAAAAGACGTTTCTCTACCGGAAACTTCCATAAGAAACGCCGGGAGACCACTACGCAACATCGGAAACGGAAACAGAGTTTCTCAACGTCCCATCCTCGCTTTCTTCGCTGGAAACCACCACGGTCGTGTCCGTCCACAGCTTCTAAAACACTGGAGAAACAAAGACAACGACATGAAAATCTACGGTCCGCTTCCACACAGCGTAGCTAGGAAAATGACCTACGTGCAACACATGAAGTCAAGCAAATACTGTCTTTGTCCAATGGGTTACGAAGTCAACAGTCCAAGAATCGTTGAAGCTATATACTACGAGTGCGTCCCCGTGGTGATCGCCGATAACTTCATGCTACCGTTCAGCGACGTTCTTGATTGGTCCGCTTTCTCAGTAGTTGTCCCGGAGAAGGAGATCCCACGGCTTAAAGAGATACTGTTGCAGATTCCGATGAGGAGATATCTGAAGATGCAGAGTAACGTGAAGATGGTTCAGAGACATTTCTTGTGGAGCACTAAACCTAGAAAGTACGATGTATTTCATATGATACTTCACTCCATTTGGTTTAACCTTCTCAATCAGAACCAAACTTCTTCTACTGATCATGATCCTGATTCCTGACATCATCCTTAATTATGTCTCTACATATTATATGTAAGCACTCAAAATATATATTATACGAAAAATCTTCATTAACAACGGGCTTTATCGATTAAGAGGCTCCTTTCATTAGACCATATCTTATATCAATGGGCTTATAGAGTAAATATGGCCTGGATCGGATGATCCTCAGCTGAATGTACAGAATCTTTTATATATTCTGATCCTATATTTGAAAGTGCAAGGTGAAGTGACTGAAGTAATGTATTACCAGAATGACCCCATCAAATTTATACAGTAGGACAAATTCTAACGACCATAACATAGACTGTCATACTCATACATACATACACCGAGCGATATGTGTAGTCCGGTGGTCCTCTACGCAGTATTGTCTGTGTCGACGTGTTGGTGTAACCCTACATTTAACATATATTTTAACGTAACGTTTTGACATTTGGACTTCAACCTATTGGCTTAAATTGTGAAGGTATGTCGCAACAACTGGTACCACGCAATACACTGTCCTTTTCTACTCCTTACGTAACTTCATACTATTTAATATTTCAACCCCCACCCTATAAAATATTTTCATATATTATATAAAAGTTATAGGCGACGTTAACGTTACAGCTAGATATATTATAGGATCTAGTCCATACACAGATTATTCCAGTGGAATTTACAAAAAACTTCATGATTTTCTATAGAAAGAACTATATATAAACGATGGAACCATCCATCTCAATATACATGAACTTCTTACTATAATAAGGTCATCGTAATATTTTTGTTTATGGTCTTAAAGTATATTCAAGATGATATTACTATAGGAGGAAAACAATTACGAAATTATACTACATTTTTATTTTATGGGTGTTGTAGAGCATTTCACAGAAAATTGTGGAAATTAATATATATTTGAATTTTATGACCATAATTTTATGCCATTGGCTGAATTATTTTAAATACTAATTAATTACATATTTAATGTAAACAAAAGGCAAATAAAAAATAGACAGTAGTGTATTTAATATTCATATGTTATGCAAAATCTGTAAAGCAGTTTGGGAGGCACGAGATTATTACAAGTCCACCTTTGTCCGTACAATGTTGGACCGCATAGACAGCCTCCATTTGCCACGTGTCTACCGTGAACATCTTACACGTCACAGTGTAGATTCTAACAAATGTGTAAATAATAACTTCGGTTTCGGCTAGACATTGATCGATGAGATATTTTGTTGGTATCAAATTTATCTGAGTAAATAAAAGTTTAATAGCATCATAAACAAAGCAAACGATAGCGTTCACTCTAGCTAAACTAGGTAGCTAAAAAAGTCCACGAAACTTATCTTTAACAGCAATACCTAAGAGAGGCCATCATTTCAACAATTCGATTTCTATAGAATTCAACTTATTACAGGAATCTCCAAAAGTTTAAGTAAACCAGATCAATTCAACTTTTACTGATTTATGCAATATCGACCGCGATGGTGCAAAACAATGGTGTTTGTAAAAACTACCAAAACATAACAACAATGAATGATAGTAATGAAGGTGATGCATGGCTCGTAGGCACGGCTCTGATCTAATACTAATGATAATACGATAACGTGTTGAACAGTTTAACTTGATTCTATGGAAACAAAAAGAAACAACTGAATTGTATTATAGTTGGGTAGATTGGGTTAAGATAATGATAACAATAGATAAATGTGAATGAGTTTGCTATTAGTTTATTCACTAAAAGATAACTTATTGTCAAAAGAGGATGTGTTCACAAACTAGGTGACAAAACCAGAAGACCACTTTGAAACATCTTTTCTTTTTAAAGTATTGTTTTAAAAAGATCAAAAATTTTATTTTAACAAAAAGTTGTATATAAAAAACTTTGTTGGTGCTGTGTCTAATTATATATATATGTGTGTGTGTGTGTATTTGTGTATTAAAATATGTGGAAGACAATGATAAGTGTCGCGATCAAACATGGCATCGCTCTAAATCACTATGTTGTTTCTCCCAATAGGATTCTTGTAAGTGTATGAACCACAATATTTCGTTCTCGTCTTATTAAAAGTTTTAAAGTCCAGACACTATTATTTATAGATCCAATTATATACCAACACATACTACACAATTTATTGTCCCTAGGTAAGTTTAATTGCCATATTATTGTCCGTAGATAAATTTAACAGCGACAGATTTAATATATTACTATGTTACTAAAAAGTTCTTTTTCCTTATTGTCACTCTCCTACTTTATACATTAATCTATTTTATAGTATGCAGTTTGAGCTATACCATATACAGTATCTGTGTTTCATAAACACAACGATATAAACTTTGCTCCTTCGATTCAATAGTATAAATTGGTACATGCACGGATGCACTAAATGCTTAATCTTTTAAGTGTCAACACAAGTATAGTAGTTTAGAAATTAAGAACACACGTCTTGGCCTCTATAGAACGATTGGACAAACATGATTAGTCTAATTAACTAGCTAATTTAAATATTTAAGAAATTTTTGAACAACTCTTCTTACAAGGTGTTTGGTCAACAACGTATGTGTGTGGTCACCTTAGATGATTTACTGAAATCATCAGGATATCTAGTAAGTACTAGTGAGATGTTCTCTTTAAGAAAGACAAAGAAAAAACAAAGGGTGTCAATGAAGCAATCTGGGAGAGACACGCTCGAGGCTTGTTTCGCCCACTGGCCACTCCATTTGATACTCTTTTTTTTTTGCTTATCATAATCATTAAGCCATCTTGCTTTTCTAAAATTTGTGTTGGACATATTAATATTTATAATACAAAAATGATATTTCCTTGATGCTGAGTTATATATCTATATAATAGACAAAGCATATGATTTGACTGATAATGCAATCGATGTATATGGCTATGAGGTTATGATTTAGAAATGTACGGTACAGTTGTGGTACACACTTCTCTCAAAGAAACGGTTGACTATCTTAGAAGTTTATATATAAAGAACAGACAGTATAACCAAATAATAATTGATGAATTATACCAAATACTCCTCTTCATAAGATGATTATATGTATAAACTCCAAATGATAATGTACAATACAATTATGATAAAAAAAATACAATATAATTTTAATAAAATGAATAACACATGGAGTAAAACATCAATAATTAAAACATACTATACGGTTTCATTTTCCACTGAAAGCCATATATTTTAATTTACGTTGATTTATGTTTAGACATAAAAATAAAACTAGAAGTAACTAATTTGCTTTGGTAGACAAAAAAAAAACCCCTACATTGATTTAGAATATGGTAATAGGGATTAAAAGCTCTTGTTATTATTATTATTCTATCAAGAAAAGTACTAGAAATTAAGAAGAAAAGGTGGTCTTCGAGCCTAGAGGCCTAGGATTCTCTATCTCAATCTAGTCTTGTCCTCACTGTCAATATCACCTCATCATGTTTCATTTAGATTAGTAACGAGAGTACTAATTATTTGATCAATATTGATATTTTGTGCTAATGTCGCTTTTTTTTTTTTATATTTAGGCTTCGCATGTATATATCAAATTGTTAGAAAGCTCAATGTTAGGTTTACAAAACAAAGAAAAAAAAAGAAAAAAAAAAAGAAAGCTCAATGTTCAAGATTTTTTTTTTCTTACACAATCTTCAAATTAAGTAAATGTGTATGCCCGATACATGTAAGTGAGTTATCACAACATATATATTTTTAATGTATATCAGAAATGTTACATGTAATTAAATCCAACTTTTACATCCATGTGTATATTTTCTGGTAACGTTCATGATTAAAAATTTTGTAATTCGAGTATCATATAATTTTTCATATTTTTTTATCATAAGAAAATATCAAAAATTGTTAATGAATTATAAAGAAGAAGAAAGTAAAATTCTTTTTCATCGAACTACTGTCATGTGTCAACTACTCAATGTCTAGTTACATAAAATATTCTCTGGCTTTTTAATAGGTGGCTTTGTTTCTTAGTAAGTACTAAATAATGGATGATTATTTGTTGTATTCATACTGTCTAATTAATTATCCATACAACCAAATTATTAATTTTAAAATTGTAATAGAGTATACAAAATAATAATCATCAATTAACTCGAAGTAGTCTGAAGTCTGAACACAAACGTCATATACAGTTCAACAAATGCGTAGAATAGTAGTTTTGATGTTTCAATGTCTTTAGAAGCTTAGTTTGGTGCTTAAATTATAAACCATGACTATCGAATTTGATAGGAAACAAAAATAAAAATAAATAAAATAAGAAATGTGGTTTGTTATACGTATGTTGTGATCAATATACATAATTTTAAATGAACACAAAAATGAGAAAATTTAATTTTTATTTACAGGAAAAAAAAACGTGAAAATAGAGTAAAAATTCTTATAAAAATAAATTAATTTCGGGTTATGTGTTGGGTTTTCAACCTCTAAGACATGGTTAGGTTGGTCCACATGTAAACGATCGCCTGTTGTATATGGTTTGTGTTAAAAACTTAAAACTTATAATCCGTATATTAGTTGTACATTTTGTATGCATCCATATATATTTTTCATCTCTTTTAAACATATTTTATAATTATCCATTTTTCTGATTTTATAATACAAGAATAACTATTACTATGAAATCAGAAAAATGGATAATCTTAATAAAGAAAAAATACATAAATTTCAAACGAGTGATTATGAATTTCCAAGTTTTGGATCGAAGTCTTATTTGGCTATTTTCTCATTCGACGAGATGTATGTTGTTTTTTGGTATAAGATTGTTTGGAGTTATCTCACATAGCCAAGACTACCTACTCGTCTAAATAGATCCGAAGTGATGTAGTGTGGATCCAGAATTTTCAAATACATAATTGTTGTTAGACAATTCGCAATTATAATAATGAGTTTTCTCTTTAATATAAATGAGCAATTCGGAATACAAAATGGGTTATATAGCATTAACATTAAATCATCTTAAAATATACGAAGCTAATAGAAAGGAAACTGTACTATCGATTTGCAGTTATGAGCAGTCTATCTCAAATGTTTGGGCAATCAATCATAGTCCTATGATATAACCTAGACTACATAGGACCTCCAATGAAAGCATATGGCTTCTCTTCCAATGGAGCATACCTCTTCTTTGTCTTTCTCCATCTTGCAAGAATATTTTCACACTCTCGAAGATAGACATGACTCATGAGTTCTTGCAAGATCTTTCCTAAAATATTTTCTAAACATCTAACTAAGTAGTATTGATGTAATAGACAAAGTAAATAGTATTAGTTAACTTTAAGTATTTGATTAATATTTTATTAGTAAGTAGCCTAGGCACTTAGGTCAAACAAAAAAAGAACCACAGCCGACATGAACATGAGATTAGTTTCTAGACGCAATATTTTAATTATGACACTTTGGTGTAATCAAATCAATTAAATAATTAAATTGAAAAATCTTTACTGACATGACATCAATTAATTAATAATTTACATATGTAATGCAGCATCAAAGAAAGCTCAATCATATTCAAACCTGTTGCTATTATTTAACAATGATGTTGATTTGGTCTAATGCAATGCACGGTTCACACCCTCCCACATAAGGGATATCTCACAAAGGCATTGTAACGATATTTCTACTAATATTTAATTATCTAAAAGACTATTTAGCAAAATTATTGTTACAACTTAACAAATATTTGCTTTGATACTTTGCTGCTAAATGCACAACAACATCTACATCAAGTGCCCGTACAAAACCAATAGTAAGCGTGTTCAAATTCGCGACACAAAAGTGTCTCAGTCATCTTTTGATTTTAATGAAATGTTTGAATAAAGTTTATATAATATTTTGCAAATACAAATAATACTCAAATTACTATGGATATATTACAAAATCTGAATTTCTGATTCAATCATACAACTCAATCTAATCACCAATTTCGTTAACTAAAACTCTAAAACCCATATATTTTTTTAAGAAATCCATTAGTTTTCAACTAATTCAGTATAAATCCTAGAATTGGTTTAAAACTATAGAACCATGAAAAGTTTGATAGTTTTTAATTAGTTTTGGATTATAGGATTTAGTTTTCAGTTTTTTTTTTGATTTTTTTAAAATAAATAAATAGATAAAAAAAAAAGTCTTGTAACACTCTCGTAATTCATAAAATGTGTTCGAGATTTGTTAAATAACTTACAAAAAAAAATTATTTATATTTTTAACCACTTTTCTACAATCTAAATTAGATAACTAGATATTTTTAGAAATTAAAACCCAAAAACCATGTTGAAAACTACTACCACATCCAAACTTCTCCACGGTTCCTCGTACGAGTGAACTTAATTAGGTTCTATTGCATTTTTAGTTTATTAATTTAATTTTATTTAATTTTCAATTTTGGAAAGTAACAAATATTATCGTTGGGTGGTTTACTAAATTCTAATACAATTCGAAATGTAATTTAATTAAGATTTTTACAAATGATCTTGAATCGAATCGAATCGAAAAAATAACCCACCTCCTAAAAAGAGGTCAATACCTCCTAAAATGATTCTGTAACTCGGTTCAGATAGTTACTAAAGTTTTTAAACCAAATATTCAAAGGCTTGGTTGATAAGTAGATATGATCAATTAAATGAACAGTTGAAGAAGATACAACCAAACCTTAAACTTGTGATTCGAGATATTTTCAAAATGTCTATCATTTTTTATGAAATTAAAATTATGTTTTTTGTTTTCTACAAATTAAAATTGTGTTTATACAGCAAAAATGACAAATAAAGTAGCATGAGATTTTTTTCGAAAATCAATATTTTAAACTGTAATTAAAACAAAAGAAATTTGGGTTAAATTCTTAATAGATGAAAAAAAAGATTATGGTGTAACTTATTACTGATTGGGTAATAAAAGTAGTTGAAGAAAAAAAGAAGGACACTAAAAATTACTATATGTGTCGTGTTGCCAAAAAAGAAAAAAGTATAACACAAAATGATTACAAACGGACAAAGAGAATACGAGAAAAGCCAGCTCACCTTCTATTTTATCTTTTTATATAAACGTCTACAAAAATCCTTAAGAACAGTTGATAATTTGGAAATTTTTAAATTTTAATGACATGTGCACGTAAAACAAAGTTCTATACGAAAACATTCCTATATGTTCGTTACCATATCCATACTATAAAGTTTTTATTATATTAGTTTGTCGAAATTATTCGGCGGAATGAAATATTGGCACCATTCGGTCTACATCTTACTCGATATGTAATACCATTAACCCCAAATATTGAAAAAAAATCTCAACCAATAGGTTTCTACTAATATTATAGAACAAAAGAATACTAGTTTGGTTTGCTTGTTGTAAGTCAACACTCAAAATAGCTATCAAACAAAATGCACACTAATTTGCAATGCATCTTAGCCACTATAAGACATCTAAAATAGTAAAAATATATGGTTTCTATATATTAATTTTGGTGATTAGTAGTATACATTAATTGTTATTCGAAAACTACTTCGTTATAACAAAAAAAAATGTGCATACTTAGTTAAATTGTCATGTATAATTAACTAAAGATTTTAAACAATTTGCTTCACACACACACACACACACATATATATATATATATATATATAATATTTAAAATTCATAAATTAAAACTAAAGTTGTAGAAATAATACAAAAAGTTTGATGTGAAGCTTAAAAAAAGAAAAGTCCAAGACAGGGAGAATATAAAAATTTAGAGAACTGATTTTCAAAAATATTATTAAAAGAATTTGTTTAAATTTGGTGAAAGTAATACTTAATACAATGATTAGGAAAAATAAGGACACAAAAAATGAACAGAAGAATGAAAATCAGTACTAACCAAAACGTACATTAAATACACCCAAACACAAATTTTAATTAAATATAAATGGGCCAATAAGTCCTTTAATTTTTCAACTTTATAAGGACCAATAAGATTATATACAGAAAAAAAAAGAGAGAAAGAAAAAAAGTGGAAAATGGAAAATAGAAAATGACAGAAAAGACCATCAAATTTGTCTCTTGTACTAATTTTGCCATCTTTCTCTTTGTGTATTCTCTCTATTCTATTCTACCTGCCGTATGACTTTGCCTGCTGCCTATAGATATCTCCTCAACATCAGAATAATGTTATGTTTTTGCATCGTTATAAATGTCACACAAATACAACAAGGTTACTAGACCACAACAGTCGACAAATGAAAACACATTTGCTATACATTTCTTACCTTGTCGATAGCGATTAGTCGATTACATAACACGCATAACTCATAACTCATAACTAACTCTTAGGGCATTTTCATTGGGGGTATCTTAGAAGGCTAAGATACCCCCACTTTTCCAAAGAAAATCCTTATATAACATACTTTATTTGAAAAACTGGGGTATCTTAGCCTTTTAAAATATCCGCAATGAGAATGGTCTTATGATCTTGTTAACCACCTGATTACATATGTGGATTCTAATAATAGTATACTTTTTTCTTGGTTGAGTTCTTTATATATTGGACTCAGCCTAAAATGTATATATTCTTTGCCGGGTTTATGGAGTAATGTTAAAGTCTCTGTCAGAACTAAAAGATATGTGAAGAAAAAATATAAAGACCCCAAAAAATAATGAATATGGGGAAGATGATAACAGCTCAATATATTGAAAAACTTTTTGGTAAATTACGTACGTCTTTGTACAAAAGAGAAAAAAAAAAAGAAAAAATTAAATAACATGTACTTACTTACACATCACACATTCGGAAACTTACTCACACGTAAAAAAAAAAAAAATACAAGAAAAAAAAAACAAAAAGAACCGGACAAAACGACATCGTTTTCATTATTTACCGGGGAAAGAAACCCACCGGAAAACTCACTCATTCGCCGGGGATGCTAGTAATTCTCCAAGAAGAAAGGGTCTTCGTAAGGAAACGAGTCCCAGAACCCATCAACTTTGTTGTGATCGTTCACGTCAAGCAAAAGATCAGGGAGATCGGAGAAAGCGTCGTCGGCGACCGGAGAAGACGTCACGGTGCTAGAAGGAGACTCCGGTGCTTTCCAGTCAGCTGCAGCAGCTGCGGCGGCGGCTTCTTGAATATCTTTAGGGTCAGCGCTCGCCGGTCTCGGCAAATGGTAAGCTAGCTCCGGGAAATTGAGGTGAGCTGAGCCACCTTTGATGGCCAAAGCAGCGACGTCGTGTGCACGCGCCGCCATCTCCGGCGTGGAGAAAGTGCCTAACCAGATTCTTGATTTCTTTCTTGGTTCTCTGATTTCGGAAACCCATTTCCCCCATTGTCTCATTCTCACCCCACGGAAACTCGGGTGCTTTGATACACCCTTTTGCTCGTTTTTAGTCTTTGAACTCTTTCCGGTTCTCTCCGGCGCCGGTGACCGGAGACTACGTTCTGAAGATGAGTCTTGCATCTATGAGAAAAGTTAATGTAAACAGAGAGGGAGAGAGAAAGCTTATAGAAAGAAAACAATATTTTTTATTTTTTTTGGGTTTGGTTTGTATTTTGGGGTGTGAGAGTTTGGTTTGCTTCTTCTAATATATACATCCAAATACAAAAGCAATTATTCTTGTGTGTTATGTTTTTTTTTCTTTTCTCTTATATGTATAAATCAAATATTAAAAGCTGAAAAAAAGACTTGACTACGTTTGTATTTTTTTTCTTTTCTTTTCTTTTTCTTTTTGTTTTCTTCTTGTAATGATATTATTACTTTACTTTATATATTTGTATAATAAGATTTTTATTATTTTAGACCCGATTTGGACACTTGTTCCTTTGTAATGTATCAGCTCCTAGTGTACACTGTTATCACTCGTTTCTTGCAAATAATCTAGTCCTTCCATATTTAAATATATATACAATGTACTTGAACCAGCAGGCCGAATTGTATTTAGCTTAATTTACTCTGATTGGTTTTGAACATTAATAAAAATATATAGAAAAAACGGCCTACAAATAACTAAACCACTAAACCAGAATAAACAATTTAACATAGGAATTTGATATTACTTTATATGAATATGATTGTTACGAATCTTACGTAAGAGAATAAATTGAGACATATATTGATAGTTACGAAGGTTATCACAACAAACAAACAAAGAAAACTATAGATACGAAACATGTATTTTCTTTACATGTTATTAAAAAAAAAAAACGTTTAGATGACCCGAGTTATGTATATGTATGATAACATGTTTCCGAATGTAGCAAACAAATAATCCGAATCAAACTGAACCAAAACCATATAAGAAATAATAATGGTTAAGCATGGAGTTCCTTTAGAAAACTATTAAATTTGATTATGGTTTTCCATTTTAGATGTTTGAGGCTGATGTTCCACGACACTTTTAAAAGAGTCATATATATATATTTTTTTTATAAACCCTGACATATGCTTTGGCCCATCGTTTCATTAAAGCTTGAAGAAAAAATCTATCTCTGAGAGTAAGATTCACCAATTTTCTACATGTGGATATAAATTGAGATCTATTTGTTTTTTTGCTGCATGTGTATGAAGACATTTTCACTTCTACAGTAGTTTCTACGAAGACATCAACATTAGATTTCAATTGTATAGTTTGGGACCCTTATTTCCTTTTGTTTCACTCTTACGAATTTTCTTATAATTTCCATATTTTGTTGTTTTCCCAAAAATGTTCATATCTTCGTTTTCCCGACCATGACCCATGTCTCTCCCTACAAAGCTAACCCACGTTTTTCACTTGGATTAAAGTTTGACTAAGACAACAATTACAATTAAAGTATAATCTAATACATCTTTAACCTCATAGTTAAATTTTTTTATTGTGCATGCAAGTTTCTAATAATAGTTAAACAAAATCTGTAAATATTAACTCAGCCAAAAAGATGCCTAAGGTAAAATTGTAGTTGTATTTTCTATATGTATACCTTACACATGTTATATATTGATTGTATATGTTATAGAATATATATATACATACACTATAACGAAAGAGACAATTATAGTTTGGAGTTGATATTCGGAGCATCTTTTGGGACAAAAACACGATAACTTTATATAACCAGAAATAATGAGACACACAATAGTAATTAACAACGTACGATCAGTCATATGTGCTTTGGACGTTTGCTTTAATTAAGTCTAAATATATATAAACAACTCGACGGATTATATATGTTTTGCACTTGGATATGTTTGCGAATATACGTAATAATTGTAGAACATTTTTTTGATATGTATATTTAAAGAGAGAAGCAATTTAAGTAAAAGAAATTGAGTAGAAGACTGATATGGACGATGCACGTACGCAAAACGACGTAAACACATGTAGTGTATATCAGTATATATGTACAAAGTATGATGTTGAAAATTGTATTATTTTAGAGTGAGCAAGTACGTATTTGTTTTAATCGTGGGGTCCCTTTTGACGACGATTAAGCCGAAAGAACACATAAACAAGTGTTAGATAATAGATATATAATATCTGTATAGGTTATCCAAACGCAAAACAAAAAAACAAATATTTTACGTATATATATATATACGAAGTAAAAGACTACATAGGTATGGTAATTATTTAGTCGTAACTTATTTGGGTGAATTTAAATATGAAATAGATATACCCACACTCTTTTTACTTTAAATGGTTTGAAGATATAAATTACTACTGTAGATTTTTTGAAATGATTATAAATACATATACATTCTGAAAACTGTATATACTACAGAAGGCTAGATATATTATATGACGAAAGACCGATTAGGTTGATGGCGAAAAAAATTACAAAAAGTAAAATTTAAATCAATGTCTTGAGTCATGAACACTTTAACTAATAACCCCATTAGAAAGAAAAAAATGAAAGATGAATGCCATTTTTCTGAAATTGTTTTAGTTTGTTTAGAAACTGTTGGTTGATAAAGTTGAATTACAACCAAAACATTAGTTTGCAACTAAATTAATTCACCTACCAAATTCGGTTATTAAATGCTTAATAAATACATAGGTTTCGTAAGTCTTATGTCGGAAAATGATGCTATTGTAACAAATTATGCACAATCCTGATCGATAACTTCGCCACATGCGTGTTTCCAATTCAACCAAACCTTAACTTATTTATTTATAAATAAATAACTATATATATATATATATATATATATATATATATATATGCATACAATCATTAAAAAATATAATGATTGTATGTAAAGTATATCTAATTAGAAAACGTTTTCAAATCGCATTAAAGAAAGAGAGAATTAGTTATGAAAAAGAAATTATAAAACACGTTTTCCAATTACAAACCACTATATATGACAGCTAAACTTACATTTTCAGAAGGAAAAAGAAAATCGATTAATCTATAGTTATTTAAATAAATAAATAAAAAATCGGCAAATGATATAGAATTGTTTGAATTATTTTCCTAAATTCTGAGTTACAAGATAATTTCGAGATAACTCTGCCCAAATTACCCTATAACGTCAACAAGTTAAGTTTGTAGCAAAGCAATCAAAAAGAAAATGTCAACAAGACAATGATCTTTGTATATACACTCCAAAATATATCTAACTTCCCTCTGTTTGGGGTGTGTCTAATTATATAAGACATAAACTTCTCAGAGTAGTAGAAACCGATCAATTTTATTAAATGTTTCACTGAATACTAAATTCCGCCGTATGAGCTACTACATTGCTACATATCTTATATGATAAATAAGGGTATCGCCAGTTTTTAAACCGGCGAATTTATTCAAAGCAATAACGAAGAACGAGAAGAAGAAGAAGAAGCAAGTGTTCAAATGTCTGATTAACCCATATCGTGCGTGCATCTCAAGTAAAGCAAACTCTTTAGAGTCTAGCGGTACGAAGTTGCTGCTTGAGCAAAGGTCGGATGTATTCATGGTATCCGTCAGGAACCACGGAGTCGTTCAATGGATCCTTCCACGCTTCCTCAAACAGTTTCGGGTACACATTACCGTCGTAACGGCCCAGCACCGAGTTCAAGTAGTGGTCAGTGTAATTGAACGCGTCCACAAGCGCAACTGCATTAGGACGAACCTAGATGATGGAACACAAAGTGTTAGGACTCAGCTTTTGGAAGGAATCAAATGCAGCGAGAAAGCAATGTAAAACCTGAGAGTACAAGGAGCGGAGCTGGTCGTTGGCGAGCGACCCTTGTTTGGGAGTGATGGTGTTTGTGGAGAGGAAATCTCCGAGGTGTTTGTGAAGGAGGTAGAGCGCGTAAATGTAACACAGATTATTCAGCTGTTTCTTCACTCCTTTGCCTTCTATGTCTTGCTCTAGTTTAGCTATGAACCTAACCGAGACAAAATAGGCAAGATTCAGGAGCTGATCTAGAGAGAGAATCACTAACTTATTTGATAAGTGTGAACGGATTCTGAAGTAGCTTACTTGGAAACAACAATCAATTGGCAATGGGCAATTGCAGCCTCAACCAGATCAGCCAAAAGCTCTTGGAATCCTATAGACAGGAGAAATATGTGAGAGTTTGGTCTTTTGGCTTAGGATGTGACATGACGACCAGTTGTTCTGGATTCACGGAGTTAGAAGAGTACCTTGTTCCTGATTCTCAAACTTGCTGAGATTTTTGGCACAAGTAACAGCCATTCTCAAAGCCCTAGCTTCAAAAGCTTCCAGTACCGCACCAGGTTTTAACCAATCCTCAGCTACATACCCAATAAATAAAACCAACTATACCATTAACTCGTGAATTTTATCGAGGAAAGATCATTCGTTTGTTATTGTATCAGTACGAAAATAGAATATATAAACTTAAAAACTTACCCTTTTGAACACCAGAACGACATTGCAAAAGATGTGCTGCCCGGCCCATATAAGCAGTTGTGCCAACAGGAACCTTTCCGGATCCCAGCTGGGCGACTGTCTTCATAAGGAATCTAGCAACCTATACATACAATTTCAAACATTAGCGTGAATAACCACAAATGGCAAGGGGGGTTAGAGCTTTTCTTATTGAATATTGGGGAAACAACAATGAACCATAAACTTCAAAAGCAGTTAAATGTGGTTTTTCATATCAACCAGAAAAACAAAAACAAAATGCAGGTGATCGAAGCCCAAATTATGTGTATATGTTGCTCAATTCTTCAGAAGACAGTATCCCAGCTGGGATCAGGTGAAATTAACAAAACCTTGCAAATAATCATATCTAAGAAAGTAGAAAACTACGATAAGCCTGTTAAATCAAGAGCTCACAGCTAAAACACAAAAGAGACATAAGAGGAAGACCCACGTTCTACGAAATATATTTGAGCTGACAGTATTATTCTAGTAAGTGGGAATAGGTCGTAGCTGATAATAAGTACCTGTAATTGCAGCACAACATTGTCTCCTTCATATGTGCAGGCAGGAACATACACAGCAAACAGCTCAGGTAGCCCACTGCACCACAAATAGCCATGTCCACCACATAACTTACGACATTCTTCAATGCCATCCTGCACCCAATATAACGCTTAGGCTGACTTTTCTATTCTAAATAAACCACCAAGACAATGTCGAGGTAACAAACAAAATTTTCAACATGCGAGCCGTAGGACCCTCAGAGAAAAGAAATTCATCTGTTTAGTCTAGTGAGCATAAAGGATCAGCTCAGACACATACCGCAGTGGCTGTGGTGGTGAGAGACTTCAATCCTGCAGTGCATGCATGAGCCTCTGGCAAAGTTGTGAAATCACTAGCCGCCAGTCTTTCAGTTACATCCGTGTACAGCCATTTTAGCCACTCTCCAACAAATCGGAATGCATATGCAGACGCTAGCAGAGGAAATAGCCTGTTCTGCTGAGTTTTATAATCAATCACCTGTGATAACCAAAAAACGTTAATGATTGCAAAAGAAAAAAAAGCAAACTCTACACAACCAAATCGAAGAAAATCAGTTCAGCAGAAACTTACAGACAAATCTGCTTAAATCAGGAAAATATTCATACAAGAAAAAGGTAGAAATACTTTGAAATTTGTTATGATCTAACATCAATAGGTGTACGCAGCCATGAGTATCCTTGAATATTAAATGAGTACCTGTGTCTCAATGCCACCATTATGTGCGCCAAATTGCCTCCTCACTGCACTGTACCTTGTAGCTATGCAAACTGCTCGAGATAGAGCATTGGAAGCATCTGCCACAATTGTTTGTCTCACATACACCATAGTACCGTACACCAGCTGTTTTGGAACATCCGATGGAACATATTTTCCTTCCCTTGTAACTTTGGACAGCCTGAAACGTTTTGAAAGAGGAGAAAAATGTAGAACCATAAGCCCGCATTTAAGCACAAGCGATTTCTCTAAACCTATCATTACATCTTGAATGCATATTAAACTCAGACCAGAAAGGCAAAGAGGGAGGACCTCATGAGCATTTGATCTCTAGGAATGCGAACATGATCAAACATAAGAAACCCGTTGTCCATTGAATTATATGCTCCATTTCCCATCTTCGTCCCAATATCACCAACAGTTATATTTGGAAGAGGAGAATGATCTTCTAAGCTGCGCAGTTGCACGATGAATCCTGGAAGAGGAAGTTTAAGCAATCAATACCTGAACAAGAAAAATTTAACTAAAAAATACTGGCTTTTTTGTTTTGTTTTGCAGTACATACCATGGATACCATAGTCTTTGCCGTCAGTAATGAGACGAGCGTAAACAACAGCATGAGTAGAAACTTTTCCCAGGCCACCAGGCCACCACTATTCAACAATCAAAGCAGATAAAATTCTTACACAACTAAGTCACAGTGCATAATAATAACTCAATGAAAGGCTTCTTCTTAGTCGTCAACTCACTTTAGATGCAGTCTGAGTTGGTGTATGAATAACAAACTCATCCGTCTTGGGATCAAAAGTGGCAGTTGTCTCAAGGCCTTGAACATTAGAGCCATGGCCAAGCTCAGTTTGTGCATAACACCCAATAATCTGCATCTTATTAGCCAGCGACAACCACTTCTGCTGCTGCTCCTCAGTACCCTGCCCTTTAATAGCAGGCACAAACATTCCCTACAGAAAGAGATACCATGAATAAAAAAATCAAAACGGTGTCTTTATAAACCATATCTATTGATTGAGAAAAAAAAAAAAGAGTACCCAGTGCAGATCCACAAAGGCAGGCTGATCTACAAAGTGCCTCAATCTTCCTGCTTCTTCCTCTGTAACCAACAAAAGACTCTCAATACAAAAACCTTGAATCAACGAAAACAATTAGGAGGAGCGTGAGAAGAAGAATCCTCCATTACCATTGAGACGAAGCTCAATAATCCTCTTAAAAGCATGAGCACATTTCCTCAAAGTGCTCTTAAACAGCTCCTTCCTACTCAACCTAGCTCTATTGCTTTTCTCAAAGACCTATACATAAACAAAAACACAAAAACGAAATTCACAAAATCGAACACCATGAAAAATCCCTAATCCTACCAAAAAACAAGGAGAATTGAGAAATTGAGAAGAAGAAGGAAATTAACCGGATCGGAGGCGACGAGGCGGGCAATTCGATCGGAAACCTCAAAAGCGTGGTGGGAACCAGCCCAGACGATCTTCATCTCGTCGACGTCGAACTCCGCCTTGTTCCTCTCATCAGCAAGGTGATCAACTCCTTCCATGATTTGGTAATTTCAAAATCCAGTAGCGCTAAAACACTCAAACCTTCCCCGAGAGAAAAAAAAACAAACTCTCACAGATGATTACGAAAGAGAAAGGAAAATAAAAACAGAGGGAGCAAAAGAAGATGACAATGATGAAGAAGATGGTGGCCAAATGCTCTTCCCTCTACCGATTTAATTGCAGAAGTAGTTGGGAGAGATAAATAAAAATTGAAAACTTTTCTTTCGGAGATAAATAAAAAGGAAACAAAGACAAATCCATTTATAATACTTTTTTTCCTTTTTGTTTCTTTTTTTTTTTGGTAGGATTTTGCTTTTTGTTTCTATAATTTGATGAAATATTTTTGGTTTTATCTCGTTCTAAATATTACAAGATAATAATAATAATAATAACCGACGTGGAAAGTTAATCATTTAAGATTTTTTCCAAATATTAGTGGTTATTTTTAAAATTTCTTTGGTAAGAAACTCTATACGTAATTATTATTCAACGAATATTGAGGATAAAATCACATATCCGACACAAATATCTCCCACTTATGGAATATTTAAATTTTCTCCCTCAAATGTAACATATATATTTGACTAAATGTTTTGACAGCCTACATAAAAAAATTTAATATATCGTATTTTTGTACTAAAAAAATAAAATAAAATAAAGACAGTAAAATTAGGCATGTAATAAAAGTTATTTTCCGCCGAATGAAAACAATAAAATATTAAATATGAATGACATGCATCTGAAGAACATGTTGCTAAAACAAGATAAAAGAAGATAAAGGAATTTAGACTACAAGATAAGATAATGTTTTTGTTTTCTTATGTTTAAATATATTAGTTGCGTTATGCGCAGTTCAAAAAAAATTATAATGTAATACAAAATATAACGATTTTTCCATGAAAATTCACGAATATTTAAGCCCTTTGCTTATTTTTCTTACGCATTTCTTACTTGTCAACTGTGTGTAGTAGTAATTAGTAGTAAAACATAACTAATTAAGATCTGTGTTCCAATCTCAAAGTCCAGTTTTAGGTTTTCTTTTTTGGTCGGTTAAGTTAGGCATTTATATCGTTTTGTATTAGTATCGTAAAAGACAACATTTTTTTTTTTTTTGAAGGAAAGACATCGCAGACAATTCGCCACGTGTATAAGTATGGTCCAAATACGTGATCTACCATTCAAGTTCCACGAGTTTTTTGAGCGTCTTTGACTAATCACTATATAAGACTATATGTTAAACACCATTTCCTACTTCCTTGATATTTTCACAACTAAAAGTTATACTTATACAAACCAATCCTTTTACATTTCGTAACCCAAAACATAGACTAAGAGGATGTTGCGTATGTTAGCCTGAAACGCTCCTTCATATAGTCGCCTGCGAGAATAGGCGGGAATCTACACCGATACAAGCAGAGTTGTATATCAGAAACGGACTTAACTTTTATTCTTTTGCCATTCAAGGTCAAAAACGATTTAACAACAGATATGCACCCCTTCACACCCTAAATTGGAGTAATTCAACAAGAGTTTTCTCCAATACCTTGGGGGACAAGTTCCGCTGCAACAACTCTCCAAGCATTCCACATTACAGTCTGGATTGGGATCTAAGAAGAACACCACCTACAGTAACTTCTCCTCGAATTAATTACTTTATCCCCCAAAACATTATCAATTTGTTAGTAAAAATGGAAAAGATTGAGGCAAAGTTACCGAGTAACGTTCTTTTCCAACTGGCATCACTCTGTGCAACGTAGACCTAAACCCCATTACATGAATAATGTGAAGTGTTACCTAGAAAACACACTCACTCTAAACTAGGATTGATTAAAAATTTACCGGAACAGTCCATTGGTCCATCTCTCCATCATATCACCAATGTTGACGATAAACGCCCTACAGTTATAGGAAAGTCCCCCGATTTCGACAATTGTTTCTATTCGACAAACCTCCAAAACCAAGTAGTTAAAAAAAAGCTAACTTTACCCTTTAATTCCAGGGACATCTTCCCAAATGTGTGGTTGTTTCGATTTGTCTCTACAAACCTATGAGTTTCACAGACGGTGTAAGAACATAAGGTTACTAAAAGGAGAAGAGTATGAGGAGAGTTACAAGAAAGAATAAGAAATCATTTACCTGAAGCCCTGGAACTCCATCAGTCGTTAGAAGAGTGACCATTCCATAGTCTGAGTGAGCTGAGGCACCATATGTTTCTTCATTCGACATAATCACTTCACCTATAATATATATATATATATCATCACAAGTGCAGAGATCAAAACCTGCCTGACTCGAACTCCTGGAATATGGCTTACATTTCCACTTCTTGCATATGTTTAGATACATGTTCCTCTATTTCTGTTAAGATACTAATTCTTACCAAAGTTCATCAATATTAATATCAATCATCAATCCAACCAGAATCTAATGTACATAGATACCTGGATAGCGTAAGAGGCGAACAACTGCTGTAGGATCATTCAAGGCTCCAACTTTTTCGAAGAAGTCCTCATCTAAATCCAATGCCAAGGCAATCAAGCCGAGCAATTTTCTACCGACGGAGCTTAAAGCAGAAAAGCAAAACACAACTAGCACGTTGGTCCAGGAAAGTAATAGGAAAGTTGCAAAATGAGAAACTACTCATGAAATAAGCATAATCTCCTTACAATTTATAACCTGAAAAGAAGATATTTCAAGAACACATAGGCAGCTAAGATTGTCCACTTCTACTAACAATGTAATTGGCTACAATAAACTATTTTTGTCCCTACCATCAAGGTTCAAATTTGAACTGTTGATATGAACTTGAAAACCTATTATCAGCTGAGGATGTATAGAGAAATCATGGTATTAAGTTTTAGCTTTGGATTAACTTAGCAGAAGAACGACTAAAGAGCAGGTACTTACAGGACATTCTTGTAGTAACATTCCATGGTTTGTCTCCATGATGGCAAGAGATCTAATACATACACATAATCCGTGAGAGAGAAAAAAAGAGATTGAGATCAAAACAGATTAGAAAAAACCCATGTAGTAAGTAGGAAATAACCTTCAGGAGGCCATTGATTTGGGTATCGTTGAGCAAGCACGCCTTCCAAAGAGCCAAAATAAAAGCTTTCCTTGGAATCACCTAACAAAGAGAGATCAAATCTGTAGACTACCTCCAGCAAGAAAGCAAACCACCAAATGAATAAAACCTGTGGAGGAGGTCAAAGACGGGTCAAGCTTCTCAGCAAACAAAGGAGTATAACCAAGCAAATCACGGCGGAGTAAAGCCATCTTCTCCTCTAGTGGAAGATTAAAGAAGCCTTTGCTCTCCTTAAAAACCCTTTCCATTAATTCAGCCGCGATCCCATGATTCTTGACATAAAAGAATCCATGTTCAAGACACGCCTTACGGACATAACAAAACAAAAACAGCTTTAATCAGCAATCATAGTCCCCAAACAAACAAGACCTCCTTCAACTCAATAACGCAGACCAAAATTGAAACACTCAAAATCGTAAGAAAGCCAAGTAAAAGCTATTAAACTAAAAAAAAAAAAAGACAAAACTCATCTTCGTCAATTGATGCTACATCCTACAGGTGCTAGTCTTGTCTCTTTAAAAAGCAGGATACAAATAACAGAGTGGTGAAGAAGAACCTGACGAATCAATTGTGCGGTGGTGATTTTATCCGGCGAAGAGAGGTCGATGATCGGAAGTAGAAGCGATGTTCCCATTAATCCGACAGTGAAATTATAAAATGAGGATTCTTTTTTCTTTTCTTTTTTTTTACTTTTGGTCAGTTTTATGAAATAGAATTTTAAAAAACATACGTATATGTGAAAACTGTTAAATTGGACTCTGAAATGGGCTGGCCAAATCTCACATAACAATGTAAGCCCACATTAACAAGAGGCCCATATAAAAGAAAATTAAAATTTGAAGATATTGTCATCACTGCACAGAAAAGACATGATCCGTAGGAGCGAAACAAAAGTACAGCTCCTGTTACTATGAGCTTGAATACGTCTCGCGTGTTGTGGAAGAATCTGCGTCTTCCACATGTCTGACAATTAGGAGACAAGCCTTAATTAATTAGGGTTTCTATGATTTTGTGAGAGTTTTGTTTTAACTTTTTTTACGTCAATAAATAATGGATACATTTTTTTCTAACGGACTTTGTTCCACAACTAGTAGTATATTAACCAATCGCAAATACAGCATACGTGATATAGTTGTAATTATGTTATAACCTTTCATTTATTATAACAAATTCATATCCACGCAAAGCACACGACTCAGACTCAAACCCAAACCTTAATTAGAACAGGTTTATTAACTTAGAAAACTCAAACATTTGACACATGCATGTCTTATTTAAGCAAATGTGGAGCTTAATCTCATGATAGATATATTTTAGCCCGAACCGGAGTACGAGGCGAGGGTTTGACTGAATCGCTCGTGGAAATAATCTTTGGTCCGGACAGGTGGAAACCTGAGGCAACAAAATGACAAATCAACCAATTTAAGTGATTTCAATAGAAGACCAAATTTTTTTAAAGTTATCACAAACAACACTCTATGCATTATTGTCTTAATATACCTGGGAGGAGATGTTTCACTACAACAGCTCTCCAAGCACTCCACAACGCAGTTTGGGTCTGGATCGACGAATACAGCCACCTTCAAGTAATCAATACCAACTTGTTTAGTTCACGTTTAATGATGATGATTAGCAAAAACAGAGACTTATTCAAACGAATTACATCGTACGTACCGAAAAACGTTCTTTTCCCACCGACACCACTCTATGCATTGTTGATCTTAATTATAATCAAGAAGAGATATATCTTAATTAACTCAAAGTATGAATGTTTTAGTTTAGAAATGAAACTGTAAACTAAAAAGTATGAATGTTTTAGTTTTTGTAAGTACCGGAAAAGACCATTAGTCCATCTCTCCATTAGGTCGCCAATGTTGACAACAAAAGCCCTGCGGTTTTAATTTACACCAAGTCATATCATATCTTAAGTTTTTAGGCCTTAATAATCAAGTACATGATAGTGTAACTTACCCTTTGACTCCAGCGACATCTTCCCAAACTTTTGGTTCTTTATCTTTATCCCTACATACCTTTTAGTACGTAAACATTGTTAAACGTATAACAACTATTTTGTTTTATTTTACTTTAAAACTGAGTTTTAAGTTAAAGATTATGAGATGAATACTTGAAGCCCTGGAACTCCATCAGTTGCAAGAAGAGTTATCATTCCATAATCTGAATGAGCAGACGCTCCACATGTTACTTCTCCAGATGAATTCAACTCTCCTATTTATATATAATGTGAGAAAGAGAGACTTTTAATAAGAATAAAAGTAAATAAATCTAGCAGTAGTAGAGTTTTCATATCAATCCCCAAAATGTTATAAGACCTGGATAACGTAAAAGACGAACAACTGCTGCTTGAGCATTGAAGCCTCCCACTTGTTCAAAGAAGTTTTCTTCTAAATTCAGTGCCAAAGCCACTAGGCCAAGCAATTTTTTACCAACATCCCTAATTAAGAAGCAACAAAAGACCATTAAACAAAAACCACAACATACAACAATCCAATATATATAGAAAAGGAAACAACGTTGACATCATTAATTAATTAGTTTTACAAGTATTTTGGTCAGCATAAGCAGAACAAGTTTCCATCTGCTTACATTACAGTTTTATAGTAACATTCCATGGTTGGCCTCCACAGCGGCAAAAGCTCTACAAACATTCATAATCCATAAGATATAGATAATTATCATAAACAATTACAAAACAAAGCATTAGTATTTGGTAGAAACAAAGGGTTCAAAGGCCCATAATTACTTGAAATTCCGTTAAATTGGTAGATGAAAAAAACATTTCATCAGTTCTATTTTTTCTTTCTATGTTCTCTCGGTCAATATGATTAAGAAATTTCCAAACCTCAATATTAGTTTTGCATTTAAAAATATTGTGAATTCAAGAAACAAATACTTCATAGGTCATACCTATTATTACAATCAGTGTTCACGAAAGCGCTATGCGCTACCTAATTCCTAGCACCTATTTTATATATGCAGTTAAAAATTACAAAAATATAACATATGTAATTTTAGTCGGTTTAGACTGTCGTTTAGATGTGGAATGAGCATGTAGCGCCTAGTTAGAAGACCGCTTAGACCAACCTCATCGGTAGAGACCCTCACATTCTCTCAAAACATTTTATTTTAATCATTTTCTTTTAAAATTATTATTTGTTTAAATTAAAAACAAAAACAAAAAAATTACCCTATTATAAAGTGACAGCAGATGAGAACCGATTATTTGGGGTTCTCATTTGAGAGACTAATCACAGCTTCTGTACTCCTTTATTGTTATTTAATATTTTTAATTTGTGAGAACCTCTTTTAAAAGCTGCCGTTGAGGTTGCCCTTAAAGCAACTCCAATGCAAGTTTGTTAGTAAGTTTCTAGGGGTTAGAAGGAATAAAAATAAATCAAAAATGTATAATAAGTTAAGGAAAAGTTTTTAGCTAAGAGATTTAGAACATGATTTTTAACAACATGTGTCAGTTTTTCATTGAGTGGAGCAAAGAAAAAAAAAAACAAGGTTTCTACTTTTAAAAATTTTAATGCTTAAAAACTTTACCATTGTAGGATAAATTTTACTTACTCTTTAAAAGATTTTTAGCTTCAGATTTTATATTTCATTGTAATAAAAATATACTAACAAACTTTTTAAAAAATTTACCATTGGAGTTGGTGTTAGAACTCTTTTAGAACACTGATTACAAGGTGTAGATTTTTTTTTATTTTTGTTATTAAGATCTAGGCCAAAAAACGAAGAAGAAGAAAAATTGTTATCAAACTCTTGTGATAACATTAATTATCAAAAACTATAATATATTGAACTGATTATCCGGAAAATCCGGTTTGCTTTCCCGATTCGTCTTAAAAATATAATAATTTGTTTGTAGCTAATTCTACTTTTCTATGTATAATTTATATACACGTCTCGATCAAGAGTGGGTAAAGAGTTTTTATATCAAAGAGAAACAATCATTGAGGACTAATAGGAGTTTCACTATATCAACTTGCTCACTATCATCATATATTAAATAAAAAGTTTCTATACTATAATATCAACTATAAAGTATTATCCAAGAAATGTTACCTTCACGAGGCCACTCATTAGGGTAAATTTGTGCCAAAACTCCTTCTGAAGATCCAAATGTGAACATCTCCTTGGAATCACCTTTTATAAGAAAAAAAAAATCTCAAATCAATATATCACACATTTCGATTTCTTAACCAAAGCCAATGATAAAAGTTCGTATAAGCTAACTACGATAAGGTATAATATAATTAAGAACCTTTGGCTAAGGTAGAGGAGTGGGGTTTCTCCTCGTATAAAGGTGAGTAACCACGAAAACCACGACGAGCCATCACCATCTTCTCGTCAAGAGGAAGAGAGAACAGTTTCTTGCTCTCCATTAACACTCCTTCCATCAACTCTTCCGAAACGCCATGATTCGTTAAGTAGAAGAATCCATGATCCAAACAAGCCTTCAAAAAAAAAAATTCAATTTTACCACCGACACAGTAACCATATAAAGAAGCATTTACTGTCTTTTTTAAGAGTATAAATTAATAATACAATCAATAATGTCGTTTTGTTATCTTAGAGGGAGAAGAAGAAGAAGAACCTGACGAATCAAACTGGAAGTAGAGAGTTTCTCCGGCGAGGAAAGATCGATGATTGGAAGTTTCAGAATCGTTCCCATGATTTATTCTTATCCCCCTACTCAGTTTCATCAAGCTAGCTAGTTTCATCCATTATTTATATTCTTACTACGTTGTTTGTGTTTTATTCCTTGACTTTTCGGCCCGAGTTATGATATACACTGGGCTTTTATTAGGCCTATTAAATATAAATTATCGGTCCAAGTCCATGTTTTCATTACAGTTTAGATCAAATATGTTATTTGTACTTCGCAACTTGTATATATCGGTTTTGGAGCTTACCGTAGAGAGTAATCATCGAGTCGATGGGTGAAGGTTTAAAGAGGATTCTAAGCTCTCTCATCTTCTCAAAAGTGGCCTCGGCTTTATCCAATATATCTTCAGATTTCGTGTAAGAGTTCAGGACTCAGACTGAGGAGAGTGGCGTAGACAGAGAAAGCCCTCATGTTCTTGGGAATGCTTTCGACGGCAATTCCAAAACAAGAACATTCTCAACAACATGAAGCCTAGCTGTGTAATCTTCTGGAATCATATCAAAAACCTTCTGTTCACCCATCCACTCCGATGCCTAACACATTGCAAAGATCATTTCCAAAATCTCCTTACTACACCAAAATTACCAACATAATGTACAGTATATTTATGTGTCACATGGTCTATATACTAAAATATTATATGATTATTAATACAATGGATATCGTAAGATTTAATCTCAAGTGCTTTACAAAATTGATTTGGGTCACGGAGATTTTTGAAGAAGCCTCTAAGGTCAGACGGTTTCACTTGATGGCCTTTAGTTTATTAATATAACAAATTCATGATATAAACCCAAACGGCCAAACCCAAACCTTAATATTAGAACAGGTTTATTAACGAAGAAAACTCATACATTTTGACACATGCATGTCTTATTTACGCAAATGTGGAAGGAGCTTCTCATACATATATATTTTAGCCGGAACCGGAATAGGAGGCGAAGGTTTGACTGAATCGCTCGTGGAAATAATCTCTGGTCCGGATAGGTGGAAACCTGATGCAACAAAATGACAAATCAACCATTTAATTTAAGTTCTTACGATAGAACACCAAAACTTTTTAAGTTATCACAAAACAACGAGAGTTATTAATACACACACACACACCGGGGAGGAGATGTTTCACTACAACAGCTCTCCAAGCACTCCACAACGCTGTTTGGGTCTGGATCGACGAATACAGCCACCTTCAAGTAATCAGAACCAACTTGTTTATGTCACGTTTTATGTGCTGGTGATTAGCAAAAACAGAGACTAGCTAGTTCGAACGAATTACATCGTACGTACCGAATAACGTTCTTTTCCCACCGACACCACTCTATGCATTGTTGATCTTGATTATAATCAAGAAGAGACAAAATCTTAAGTTAAAATATTACCTTAGAAAAATGAAATTGTAGTGTTTCAAAAGAAATGAAATTGTAGTGTTATAAAGGAAATGAAAATGTAAACCAAAAAGTATATATATATAGATGTTTTAGTTTTTGTAGGTACCGGAAAAGACCATTAGTCCATCTCTCCATAAGGTCGCCAATGTTAACAAGAAAAGCCCTGTGATTTTAAAAGTCATCATATATATCTCAAGTATTAGGCCTTAACTACAAATAGTGTCAATTAAAAAGCATATATGTTTGTTTATGGTTTTATGTAACTTACCCTTTGATTCCAGCGACATCTTCCCAAACTCTTGGTTCTTTATCTTTATCCCTACAAACCTTTTAGTACGTAAACATTGTTAAACGTATAACAAATATTCGTTTTATTTAATTTTAAAAGCTGAATTAAAATATATTATATATGAGATGAATACTTGAAGCCCTGGAACTCCATCTGTTGCCAGAAGAGTTAGCATTCCATAATCTGAATGAGCAGAGGCACCACATGTTACTTCTCCAGATGAATTCAACTCTCCTATGTGATAAAGAGGGACTTTAAGAATAAAAGTAAAGAGATCTAGCAGTAGTAGAGTATTCTTATCAATCCCCAAAATGTTATAAGACTATACAAGGTATGTTGAAAGACCTGGATAGCGTAAAAGACGAACAACTGCTGCTTGAACATTGAAGCCTTCCACTTGTTCAAAAAAGTTTTCCTCTAAATCCAATGCCAAAGCCACTAGGCCAAGCAATTTCTTACCAACATCCCTAATTAAGAAGCAACAAAAACCACAACATGCATACAACAAAAATCCAATTAAATATATGAAAAGGAAAACAACAATTGCTCCATTAATTAGTTTTACAAGTATTTTTTTGGTCAGCATAAGCAGAACAAGTTTCCAGCCACTTACATGACAGTTTTATAGTAGCATTCCATGGTTGGCCTCCAAAGCGGCAAAAGCTCTACAAAAATCCAAAACAATTGCAATAGAAATAATTAAGGGGTTCAAAAGCTAAACCTAATTGTAATGTTTTTCTTTTGGTTGAAATGTTTGAGTTTATTTGTTGCAATTTGGTTAAAATTGGTAGCTAAAACAAACAATATTCCATCAATATTTTTTTTTAACGTTCTATAATTCAATATGTTTAAGATTTTTTGACACCTCAATATTAGTTTTTCATTTAAAAATATTTTGGATTCAATAAGTTCATAATTGTTATAAGAAAAAAGATACTTCATATAACTCATAACTATTAGTAGAAGGTATGCATTTTTTTGTTATTAAGGCCAAAAAAATGAGGAAGAAGAAAACATATTATCAAACTATTTAAATAACTATCAACTATAAATCTTTAAAATAACTATCAAACTATTAAAATAGCTATTAAAAAAATGAGCATCCACAATGGTTAATTTTATGGGTGTCTTTAAATTAAACTCTTTCAATATGTGATATTTTTATATTAAAAAAATGGATATCTTTGAAAAGAGAATTCTGTCTCCCTAAAAACATTTAGATCCCCATTTTTTACAATGTCTTTAAAATTAGTATTAACTTCCTCACTATTATCATCTATTTAAGTATAAAGTTTCTATATTATATCCATTATAAAGTATTATGATCCAACAAATTTTACCTTCAAGAGGCCATTCATTAGGGTAAATTTGTGCCAAAACTCCTTCTGATGATCCAAATGTGAAAATCTCCTTGGAATCACCTTTTATAAGAAAAGAAAAAAATGTCAAATGAATATGTGTCACACATTTCCTTTTTCTCAACCAAAGCCAATGATAAGAGTTAGTATAATAAAATTAGGATAAGCTATAACATAATATAATTACGAACCTTTGGATGTGGCAGATGGGTCAAGCTTTTCGTCGTATAAAGGTGAGTAACCACGAAAACCACGACGAGCCATTACCATCTTCTCGTCAAGAGGAAGAGAGAACAGTTTCTTGCTCTCCATTAGCACTCCTTCCATCAACTTTTCCGAGACTCCATGATTCGTGAGGTAGAAGAATCCATGATCCAAACAAGCCTGAATAAAAATAAAAAAACAATCATCAAAATATCAATTTACTACCATTTGCATAGTAACCATATAAAGAAAGCATTTACTATTTTTTCAGACTAGAAACAAATATATAATACAACCAATATAGTCCGGTCGTTTTGTTGAAGAAGAAGAAGAAGAAGAAGAACCTGACGAATCAATCGGGAAGTATAGATTTTCTCCGGCGAAGAAAGATCGATAATCGGAAGTTTCAGAACCGTTCCCATTATTTCTTCTTATCCCCATAGGCCTCTCTACTCAGTTTCATCCATTATTTATTTATTTATTTTTTATTTATGTTATTCCTTGATTTTTCGGCCCGATTTTTGATCGAACCTGGGCTTTAGGCCCATTAAACGTAGATTCTCGTCCAAGTCCACGTTTTCCAATCAACAATCAAGTCGTTGTGTGTGAAATGTGTGTGTGATTTGTGTTACTTCAAAGATAATCAGCAAAAACAAATATATATATATATATATATATATATATATCGAAATAAATTTAAAAAACTCAACTATATTAATTAAAATTTCTGTAGATGTAGCGGTATAATTTATAAAATACTATATAATATATAATATAAATACTATATAATATACGGAGTTTAACATGAAACTTAACAAAGGTGAGTGAGTGACATATCAGGAGAACGTACGTGGATTTGTAATAATACGACATATATGATATAACTCCAGTCAATATATTTGATCGATATGATTGCAATAGATTTTTTTTGGTTCATTAATGGACCTGACTTAACAGGTTCGGACATAAATGCATAGTGCGTATGATTTAATTTTTAAAAAACCCAAAATAAAAAAAAGATCTTATTAGGACAGTGATTCCTTAATTAATGGAAGATTTAATAAAATAAATGCAGATGGACCATACATCTAATTTTGATGATACCAATGCCACAGTCCACAGAAGACATTGCCCAAACACGTTTTCTCTTATATCTTTTTTTTTGCTTCATCAACATGGTCTCCATCATTGGACCTCTCCTCGTTTTATCACATTCTTAGAGTATGGTACTACATTCAACTACATTGGTAACACACATTTATTACTGACACAATTTTTGCAGAACCCTAATTCATTCAATCATTTTCATTGGCAAGAAGAAAGAAAAAGAAAAAAATACTTAAAAAATATATTCACCATTTCATGAGTTTTGTAACTTTATTAGTTAAGCTCTTCTTTGTTTACACAGACCAGTGTTATTTAAAATACGTATATATGTGTGTGTGTGTGTATATTTCTCAATAAATTATGAGCAATCAGTATTACAAGTTTGTGGGGAACAAGTTCCATCATTTTAAGCAAAAGACAGCTTGGCCACATGAATTAACAATCATTTATATTAGCTTCCTTATATAAAAGATCATTATGTCCAAGATTTGATTGCAAATATTGTTGAATTGGTCGCACTACTTTATATAACAATAGTAATATACTCCTAACAAAAAGCAATCCAAGCTAATAAACTAAATGTTTCTTTTGCCAAACTCAAATAATTGCAAATCAATAATACAATATTGTATAATGGTGGTATTGGTCTAGTTTGTTTATATACTCAGGTTGAGTTATTTCGTTCTAATATAAGCCGAGGCCTATATATGTAAATGAA